TTATATCCATGTTATATACATGCATTTATATATATATTTATTATTTATTGCATTTATATATATATATATATCAAATGTAATATTATTTATTTAAATAAAAAATAGATATTACGATTTTTGACATTGCTTATTGGCCAATCCAATATTATATTTAATAATTGTATATGTTTACGTATAATTTACGTAAAAAAATAAAGATAAGTTGCCCTTTGCATTTTTTATAATTTTTTTATTGAAAAAACCAAGCTTTTCATTTATGTAAATTAAAATTTATAGGAAACCTTCTGCACTTGACTTATTATTGTGATAAAAAAAGAATGACAATGTACTATTCTAATCAAAAGAAATTATACAAAACGATAACGAAAAGGTTTGAATTATATTAATAATATATCAGTATTTTATCTTTTAAGAAGTCTGAAGTAATCATTTTAACTCACTTATAGTTATCAATCTTTTTTGTCATTTAAATTTTAACGTAGTTCATTTTTAAAATTTTAGAAAAAAGATAAAAACCAGAGAGAGAGAGAGAGAGAGAGAGAGAGAGAGAGAGAGAGAGAGAGAGAGAGAGTAAAAATGAATATAAAAATAACTAAATTTTTTACATTTGAAAAGCGCTTGGCCTCTTTTATCTTTTTTATTTTTAATGTTTAATTTCCATTCATAAAGAGAAATATATTTGAAAATGAAAAAAGCCCCAAACTTTTTAATTGACCATATCAAAGTATTTCGAAAAAGAAAGATAAATAAGAGAACAGAACACTAAATGATTTCTAATCGATACGAATATACAAATATGATATTAGTATGAATTAAAACACAAAAAAAAATTTCCTATAAATGATTCTAGTAGAATAACAAATTATTTCTAATGCGAATACATATACATATAAAATGATTAAAATATTTATTATAACATATTTAAAAAAAAAGAAAGGATGACATTACTCATTCTAAATAATTGCATTATAATATAATTATACAATCATCAGTCATATAAATTAGCAATGTATATGACTTAACACAATTCTAATTTTCAAGTTACATCATATCCATTTTTGTTTCCTATTTTATTTGCAATATGACCTTGAATAATAATTTTTTACTTCTCACTTTTTGGGCAAATTATAAAAGCATGATAGGATTAAATAAAGTAACATACTATATCAACAATCAGTCGAGGAAGAAACTTCAACGTGATATCTCTTTCTCTCTCTCCTTCTCTCTCTCTCTCTCTTTCTCTCTCTCTCTCTCTCTTTCTCTCTCTCTCTCTCTCTCTTACTCAGTGTCTACCTGTCTCTACCTATTTCTGTTCAACGTGATTAATTATTGAAAACTTTTAAAAAAAATGGAACATTGGATTGGTAAAATAGCTATATTTACTGGTGCTTCCAGTGGAATAGGATTAGCAATAGCGAAAGCTCTTGTACAAAATGATGTTGTCGTGATAGGATTTGCACGAAGGAAAAGTAAAATGCAGGTATATTTTTCATTGACTTTTCTCTCTTTTTTTTTTTTGGTTTATTTTATTTTTTAAATTCATTTCGATTGTACAAATTAAGTTATACGTTATTTAGATGATAAATTTAATATATTCATAGTTTTATACAAGGTCATTACATTGTTTTCTCTAGAATTTTTATAATAATTATTAATATTTAGTAATTATTTCTATAAAATTGTAAATTAATCTATAAATTATATAGTATTAGAAGTAATATTATAGTATTATATACATATACGTATTATATATATGTATAATATATATATATATATATATATATATATATATATATATATATTATAATTGATATAATATAACTATACCATATTATTTAAGATAATGTAGTATTAAGATATACTTATCAATTAATATAGCATTATAAATTTCTTATCAGAGCGAGATGCAGAATGTTAAGGGAAAAAATAAAGGAAAGTTCTATGCATTCGAGTGTGATGTTTCCAAACCTGACAGTATTGAACAAGCATTTGAATGGGTCAAAAATAATTTTGAAACTGTTCCTATTTTGGTGAATAATGCTGGAGTCGTCATAAATTTTAAATTTATGGGTATAAATATAATAATGTGAATTAGTAATTATTTGGATAAACTTAATGAAACTTTTCTATAGATTCATCTAGATCTGATTGGAAAAGATTATTCGATGTGAATGTGTTAGGATATATCGATTGTACCAAACGTGCCGCTAGAATGATGCTAGATTCTAACATAGAAGGTTATATTATTAATATAAACAGGTAAGCTAATAAATTTTACTAAGTATTTTTTTTTTTTCTATCATTCTTATCTTCGATTGTATACAGATAAAAATAAGTGATAATGACTATCACTCGTAAATTTTTTATATGTGCTCGTATACTTTTTCTTTTACTACAGTATCGCAGGACAGGATATAATTTTTTTTCCGGGTTATACATTTAACTTTTACTCAGCGTCCAAATTTGCTTCCGTTGCTGCTACTGATATCACACAGAAGGAATTATATGGTAGTAAGATTCGAGTGACGGTAAATATAATGTCAATGTTGTATATTTAATAATAAATTGTCCCTCTATAATAAAATTTCGTTTCATGTTAATATCAATTGTTACTATAAAATAATGAAATAATATTTAAAAAATAAATATAACTTTAAACTTATATAGAATTATGGAGGATTAAAAATCATTAGAAAAAGTAACGAAATTATTGTATATATACATATATTAAAATTGTTCGTAATACTACAGAGTATCAGTCCAGGATTAGTATCTACGGAAATCTTCGATGCCAATAACTTTAACGTAGACACAATCAAGGATTTACCAATGTTGGAAGCTGATGATATCGCAAATGCTGTTATTTATGTAATTGGAACTCCGCAATGTGTTCATATTACTGAATTGATTATTAGACCTTTTGGAGAAGTTAAATATAAGTGTTAAACATGAAATAATATATAATATTTTAATTAAATATTATATTGTTATTATCTTCGCCAAAAGACGATAAAAATACAATTTTTTCAATGATACTAATTTCGACTAAAAATAATATCATTGAAAAGAAAAAAGATAATATTATTTACCTAATTGTATTATTTATAATAATAACTATTATCTAAAAAATTGTTTTAAGAATTGTTTTGCGACTGTTAATTCCCCTTTTTACCAATATCGGCGCTATAATCTGTTTCCAATGAGACGTTGGTAAGGTAGAGATCATTATTTAATTTATAAAGAATTCTTTAGTGTATTATAATTATTAATTTTAATTCAAAATATTTTCAATTATATAAATAACGTAAGAGACGATCGTTGATCAGAACATTTCTTAGGTAGAAAATTTCTCATGTAACGAGTTACGCAATCGTTGCAGTACGTCGCAACGTACTGCAACGTAATATCAGAAGAAAGAACATTAGAGAATATTTAGTAGAAGAGAAATAATTCGATGTTTTTCCGAATAGTTTTCATTCCTTAACCATTTTATGTAATAACGTGACGATATAAAGTTTTTATCTAAATTATAGAAAGTTAAGATGTGGTTATCTTATCTCTTCTTAAACTTATCTTGTTATCTCATGATCTTTATTGTCGATAATAACAAATATTTTTCTTAAATATGTTTTATTTTCTGTCAAAAATAAGAAAAACAAAACAGAATGAAAATATACGTATCTATTGAAGAAAGATAAAATAAGAATATGTTTTTTAAAATTATCACAATATGAATGATATTTTATAAATAATTAAAAGAAAAAAGAGAAGTAAGAAGGAAAGATACCGGACTTCGTCAATATGAATCTTGATGAGTTTTCTTTGCACGTCTATTTCTGTACGTGTAAACCTTGGCCTAAGTCTAGTTTCAGTGACCTTGGTTGCAGTTTGCTTTACGTTCACCAGTTTGTTCTTTGTCGAGTTTCTGAGCTTCGTTTTGGAGAAGTTAAAAAGAATTATTTATGTTTGTTTTAACCGCATGACTTCTGATGATTTATTATACATATTTTTTTTATTATTTTAATATGTTTCAATAACACCACGGATTTTATTTGTATAAATTATAATTTTTATTAGAAATAATTTTACATATACATTTTGATTGTATTACTCTCGAATCCAATTCAATATTATCTTTGATAATTATGTATTCTTATAAAGAATAAAAATGCAGATGATTTGTTTGTTTTATTTTTTTATTATTTTTCTTTTTGTCGAAAAATCTACGATTTTTATTTGTATAATCTATACTTTATTGAAAACTTTACAAGTTTATTTAGATTATTATTAAGGTAAAAATGAATCCACTAATTAAAGAAAATGATATAAATCGTTAAAAAGAAGTCTTGAATTATATTAATAGCTTATCAGATTTGTATCTTTCAAGGAGAAATAAATTTTATAATCATTCTTACACTCATTCATACTTATCAGTTTTATTTCATCATGGAAATTTTAAAATAGTTTATATTAAAGTTTTATAAAAATTAAAGAAAAACGCGATAGTAAGAGAGAAAGACAAAAAAGGTAGAGAAAAAAAAATAAAAATAAAAATAACAATATTTTATACATTCAGAAAATACACGACTCTTTTTTAAATATATAAATTCATAAAGTAATACGTATCTTAAAATGGAAAATGTCATAAGCTTTTCAAATGACCATCGCATCTCAAAAAAAAAGAAATTCTAAATAAAGAAACAGAAGAGTAAATTGTTTTTTAATCTAAATGTATATATATATATAAAATGATTATGCGTTTAAATAAAAAGTAATATAAGTTTATAAATAATTCCATTTTTTCTCCATTTTATTATAATTACTGTATAATACAATTACGTGATCTTAGCAATTTATTTGTTTACAAGTCGAAAAACGTAAATTTTTTTCTTACATTCTATGTTTTCTTCAATATTTGCGACGTAATCTGAAATAATGATTTGTCATTTCCCCTTCTAAATATCTAAGGCGCTATTGTATGAAAAAGAAGTATAATCTTCTATCTGTGATCAGTCGTGAAAGAAACTTCAACGAGATATCTAATCTTTTCTCTCTCTCTCTCTTTCTCTCTTCCTATTTAGGTACAATTGTAATTAATTATTAAAGTAAATTTGAATAAAAATGGAACGCTGGGCTGGTAAAATAGCTATAGTTACTGGGGCATCTAGTGGAATCGGATTAGCAATTGCAAAAGCTTTTGTACAAAATGGAATACTTACGATTGGATTTGCTAGAAGAAAAGAGAAAATGGAGGTAAACTTTATCAAAATTTATTGGATGGTCCTCATGTAGAATATTAAAAACAATTTTCGTCAAAATCTTTAAGAACGTGCCATTTAAAAATTTGTTCACTTTTGTTTGTTTACATGATATTCGCATTATTTTTACAAAATTATTTTATCATCCGTCAGAAATTAATCAATCTATCAGCAGAAATATTGTTCTATTAAACATAACATAATATTTTATGTTATATATTGTTCTAATAAACATAACATAAATATTGTTCTATTAAAAGATGAAGTATAAATACGATTCTTTTTTGTTAAATATGAATTCGATTAGACTCATATTTTATATTTTTAGAAAGAAGCAGATTCAAATTATATTGTTTCTTTTAATATAAGAAAAAATCGATTTTAGAATTAATATAATTAGAGGCTTCGATGAGAACAATTTGTAATACTTTATATGGATTATTAAATTTTTATTATTAAACGAAACATTAAGAACAAATTTTTTATTAGACCGAGATGCAGAATGTTAAGGGAAAAGGTAAAGGAAAATTCTATGCATGCGAGTGTGACATCACCAAACCCGAAAGTATCGAACAAGCGTTTCAATGGGTGAAGAATAATTTTGAAACTGTTCATATTTTGGTGAATAATGCTGGAATCCTCATAAGTTCCAAATTTATGGGTATGAGTATAATAAAATGGATTTTTAATTACTTGGATAAAATTAATGAAATTTTTTTATAGATTCATCTAGATCTGATTGGAAAAGATTATTCGATATCAATGTGTTAGGATTTATCGATTGTACCAAACGTGCCGCTAGAATGATGTTAGATTCTGACGTGGAAAGTTATATTATTAACATGAACAGGTTTGCTAATAAATTTTACTAAGTATTTTTTTTTTCGTATTATTCTTATCATCGATTGTATAAAGATAAAAATATATGATAATGACTATCACTCATAAATTTTTTTATATACATGTATCAACAGTATACAATTTTTTTGTTGAAGTATCGCTGGACACAATGTAATTGGATCCAAGGAATTTAGTGTTAACTTTTATTCAGCGTCCAAATTTGCTTCCGTTGCTGCTACTGAGATCACGCAAAAGGAATTGCATGGTAGTAAGATTCGAGTGACGGTAAATATAATGTCAATCTTATATCTTTATCAATAAGTTAACCCTCTATAATCGAATTTAGTTTCATGTTTAAAAAAGAATTATATCATGTTAACTTATATACTATAATTACTATAGTATATTATATTATTAAGTAATTAAGATTGTATTAATATCATATAGTATATACTATATTAATATATTTATATATAATTTATTATAGTGTATATATATGTACTAATTATATATATATATATATATATATATATATATATTATAATATAGAAATATATAAATATAATATAATATAATATATAAATATAATAAATATATTATAAATATATAAATATATAAATATATACATATATAATATAAATTTAAACAATATAAATGACTTTGAACTTATATAGAATTCTAGAGGGTTAAAAATCTTTAAAAAGAATGGTGAAATTACTGTTTATTTAAAATTGTTTTTAATACTACAGAGTATCAGTCCAGGATATGTATCTACAGAAATCTTCGAGGTCAGTAAGTTTAACGTAAACCTCCTTAAGGATATGCCAGCGTTAGAACCTGATGATATCGCAAATGCTGTTATTTATGTAATTGGAACTCCACAACGCGTTCATATTACTGAATTGATAATTAGACCTTTTGGAGAAGTTAAATATTAGTGTTAAACATGAAATAATATATAATATTCTAACTAAGCATTATATTGCTTCTATCTTCGTGAAAATAAATACAATAAAAGTATTTTTTTTTTAATAATGTAAAAATTTACAAAAATTTACATTATAAGCGAAAATAAAAATCATATTATTTATATTAATGGTAATGTTACTAATCTTATTACTTACAATAAAAAATTGTAATAGAAATTAAGACTGTTGGCGATCTGTTCCATTGTTTACCAATGCTGGCCCAGCTATTAATTTTCAACGAAACCTTGGTGAGATAGAGAACATTATTAAAATTGGAGAGAATTTTTGAGCAATTATACATTAGAATTATTAATTTCATTTTCGAATATTTTCGATTATATAGATAACGTAAAAAACAATTATTGTTGAGAAAATTTCTTAGCATACTATGTCAACGAATTTTTACATTTAAACATATTATGCAATAGAGTTTTTGGAATGTTTAATTAAACTAAAAAATTAGAGATAGTAGAAAGATTTAAAAAGTTGACCTTTTCTGGTCATCATTGATAAAAAAAAGTTTCTTTACGCGTGTTTAATTATCTGCGAGATAAGAGAAAGAATACAAAATGTATTTATATGTGGTTATTTAAACAAGATAAAAAAGAACGTGCTCTTTCAAATTATTACGATATCAAGAGTAAAATTGATATTGACGCACACGTGCGGCGTCCCTCCAAATTGTTCACAGAACTTTTTCTAAGGATCATATATCATAATTAGAAATATCTGCCCTTAGGAACTTGTTGTATACTCGCTAAGAAAATGCATAGATAAAGAACACATTGTCACCTTTATCTGAGCTTAGGCATTTTTAATCAAGTATCTAGTTTTCAATAAAATATCGAACCGGGCAACAAATAAATAGTGAAAGTAGATGCCTAAGTGGGACGAGCCAATGATTGTTTGGCGCTTAAGCTTGAAGTAGCCATTGACACCTTTTAATCTATACGATCATTAGAATAATAAGGCACACATGTGAATGTTTCAACATTCCAACGAATTATCCTGATCCCTTCCCCTCTGACCAATAGGCATTTATTCCTTTCCTTTCTCTGCTCAGATCATATTTCAACTCCATTCTTTTTATTTCCTTTCGTAATTTCATTAGAATCTTCGTGGATAATTCTAAAGATGTCAAAAAATCAGTCAAACTATGTCCTTCAGACTTACGACATTTAGATTTTCGAGTCTAATTAAACATTACTTGCTATCACTTCTTCAGAAATAGCCAGTACAACTAACTACACATCATTACACAAAATATATAAACAATTGTATCTTATTTCATCAAATAAACTATGATAGCTTCAATTCGCGCAATATTTATTATCGCGCATTTATCTTGTGAGCCTTACGGAATCCTTTAAAACAACGCGTGTTCTTTCATTAATTTGCGGGAGCGGTATTTTACTGATGGCTTTCAACGATATTCTAGCCTAATGGCACCGCCTTTATTCATCACTACCAGTGGATCTATAGATCTGACGACAAGGAAGAGATGGGGGAAATTCTCCGTGCAAGTCAATTATCATCGCTAATCTGATGCAAGACGCATATCTAGAAACGCAAATTATCACGACGCAATAATTGGTAAGAAGAAGAAAAAGTAGTAAAGGAAGATTTCGACTTTTGTCAAGGTAAAGATTATTTCCACGTCTATTTCTATCTGCGTTAATCTTGACATTAATATATGGCAGCTTTGTGTACTCTTATTCATTCTTATCTAAGTTCGAGGGCTTCATCAGTTCGTTCACACTTCGTTTTGATGCCTCCAACAGATCTTGCTTGTACAATTTCAGCGGCTGTTCATGCGTCGATCATTCTCTTTTACGAGAAAAAAAAATAAACGTTTGGAAAAATTTTAATTTTGCTATTTTTTTGTGTATATATATATATACACACAAAATATGTATATATATATATATATATATATATATATAACAATAGAAGACTATAAATTTGTGAATATAGTAACAATGGTTATATTTATATATAAAATGTATCATTTTATAGGAAAATAATTGTAGGTATCTAATTGTTACATGTATAATATAATTACAATATAGATGGTGTAGAAATAACTTAATTTATACATAATTGTTGTCATACAATTATGTGGTATATAACTGTTATATGTAAATGTCATATATGATTATAAACAAGGATGGCAATAACTTTGATCATTATGAATAAGTGATAATTTTTGTGTACTCCTAAACAACATGCAAAAATCAATTCGATTTTTTGAAATGTAATAATAATAGATTTGATCAATGCACGTTGACCTTTTTTTATAAGAAAGTATTAATTTATATATATCGAAAAATAATTACTTTACAAAATATTTCATAGTTGTGTTCTTATTACGAAAGAAAAGTTTTTTTGGGATTCTAATCTTTTTATTTTATACATTGGCGACTAATAATAGATCATCTATTCCTTATTTCAAATAATTAAAATAAAATCGATACAATTATTATAAAAATTTTAATTATTTCATTATCATTAGGATCTTGTTGCAAAAGAAATCGAGATATTTGCGTTTTTAAAATTATTAACATATACCGATGTTATATTTAAATGAAAAATTTACATAAAAAAATTTTAATAAAGAATAAATTACATTTAGAAATAGTGTTTTTTTCTTTTCCAAGTCTCTACAAGATTTCATTTCAAAGATTTCGAAATATTTTCATTTATACTTAATAACAAACGAAAATCTGTAAGAACATGAATCTTACGATATAAATATTATAATTTAATATATTCTTCGATTAATATTGTGATATTGTGTTGATTAATATTGTATAAAATAAAATGTCAAATGCAAAAAATATTCTACAATTATTTAAATGAATTCTTATTATATAAGAGAATACATGATATTACAATAATATTTATCATTTTCATGGTAGTAATGATGTATAGATTGTAACCGATTATATAACATACGTGCAACAAATTAAAGTTGGAATTCTAAATGAGAGGAAACGAATAAAAAATATCGAATAGCTAAGATCATTTAAAAAGAAAAATTGCGATCGTGACTAGCACTTTTTCTGGAATCGGATTGGCCATTGCGAAAGTTTTTGTATTAAATAACTGTGTGGTTGTACGATTTGCACGAAGAAATGATGATTGTAAACGAAAAATTCGATAGATAATAAGAGTGTGTTTATCAGTCATTTGATTAAAATTTATTGAATGGTCCGCGTAAAATATTGAAAACTATTTTCATAGAAATTCTTATAAACTATGGATTTTTTATTAGATAGATATATAGAAAATTAAGGGAAAAGATGCCGGAAAGTTTTATTGTGAAAAATTTCGAACGTCACCAAGATCAAAAATATCGAATAACCTTTCCAATGGGTCAAGAATAATTTTGAAATAGTCTATATTCTCGTGAATAATGCTGCGGTCGACATAGATACTAAATTTATGGTTATGAATATAATAATATGGATTTGTAATTATTTAGATAAAATTAATGAAATTTTTCGATAGATTCATCCAGATCTGATCGGCAAAGATTATTCGACATCAATGTGTTAGCATATATCGATTAGCATCCAAACGTCCCGTTAGAATAATGTTAGATTCTAACATTGTTAATGAATGAGATTTGATAATGAATTTTATCAAATATTTCTTTTCTCATATTATTATTATCATCATCGTTCGTTTATAGATTAAAATATGTTAGCAAATAAAATTAGATTGCTTTCGATTTAGAAAATTGATATGAATTAATAATTAATTAAAAATCGAATTACTTTTTTATCGAAGAATAATAGGTTGTAGAATATTATTTTTATATTATCAATAGTCGTCGTATCTACAATTTACATGGAATTTAAATTATATCTCGAACTCAAAGCTTGAAGGATGAAGAAAGAATTTTCTTAATAATTAATTATTAAGTTCTATTAATAATTAATTCACAATTCTTTATAAAAAAATTTACGAAGAACTTCTTAAGAACTAAGTACATTGTATTTAATGTTTTTTAATGTATAAATTTCTATTCTTAAATTGAAAAATATCTTCAAATTAATAAATAACTGTGGAAATTTTCTAATGGCCTTGAAACTTCGAAATACAAAAATTCTAAATGAATGAATAAAAGAATAAATGATTTCTAATCAATAACAATAAAAAGAGAGGTAACATGACTATGCATTTAAAAGAAGAAGATGAACATTTTATAAGCGATCGTATATTTTATTTCTTTCATAATTTATTTATTTCATCATCATAATATCATAATTAAGCGATATTAGCAATGTATACGAATACAAATAAAAGGATTGCAATTTTCTAGTTACATCATATCCTTCTTTATTTCTTTTTCATCTTCAACGTAATCTCGGATAATGATTCTTTGTATCTGTTTTTTCGAGAAAATCATTCAAGAATGATTGTATGATTAAATAAAGTGACATACAAGAACTGCGATTAGTCGAGAAAGAAACTTCAACGAGACATCATTCCTATCTCTATCTCTCTCTTTTTTTTCTATTTAATAAAAATAGTTATTGAAAACGTAAACAATAATGGAACGTTGGGCTGGTAAAATAGCTATAGTTACTGGTGCATCTAGTGGAATGGGATTAGCAATAGCAAAAGCTCTTGTACAAAATGATGTAGTCGTGATCGGATTTGCTAGAAGAAAAGAGAAAATGCAGGTAAACTTTATCAAAATTTATTGGATGTTTCTCCTGTAGAGTATTAAAAACAATTTTCGTCAAAATCTTTAAGAACATGCCATTTAAAAATTTGTTCACTTTTTTCGGTTTACATGAAATTTGCATTATTTTTACAAAATAATTTTATCGTCCGTCAGAAATTATTAAACTAGCAAACATATATATTGTTGTATTAAAAAACAAAGTATAAATATGATTCTTTCACGCTAAACATGAAATCAAATTAATTCATATTTTACGTTTTTAGAAAACAGACGATCGTAATTATATTGTATATTTTAATATAAGAAAAAATCGATTATAATATTGATATAATTAAATATTTCAATAAAAACTGTATGTAAAACTTTATATGAATCATTACATTTATATTATTAAATGAGACATTAAGAAGAAATCTTTGATTAGAGCGAAATGCAGAATGTTAAGGGAAAAGGTAAAGGAAAGTTCTATGCTTGTGAGTGTGATGTCACTAAGGCCGAAAGTATCGAACAAGCATTCGAATGGGTCAAGAATAATTTTGGAACAATCCATATTCTGGTGAACAATGCTGGGGTCTCCTCAGATGCCAAATTTATGGGTATGAATATAATAACGCGGATTAGTAATTAGTTTAATAATATTGACGAGACTTTTCAACAGATTCATCTAGACCTGATTGGAAAAAATTATTCGATATAAATGTGTTGGGTTTAATTGATTGTAGTAAACGTGCCGCTAGAATGATGTTAGATTCTAACGTGGAATGTTACATTGTTAATATGAACAGGTTTGCTAATAAATTTTATTAAATATTTTTTTCTTCGTATTGTTGTTATCATCAATTGTTTATAAATCACAATAATTGCCAATAAGAATAATTCGTAAATTTTTATATTTGTATATATTTATATTATATACCTTTTTTATTGTAGTGTCTTAGGACACAACGTTGATCTTCCGGGTTTTACACTTAACTTTTACCCATCGTCCAAATCCGCTTCTGTTGCTGCTACTGAGATCATACAAAAGGAATTACATGGCAGCAAAATTCGAGTGACGGTAAATATAATGGCAATATTAGATATTTAATAAGACATTAACTTTCTATAATCAAATTTTGTTTCATATTCAAAAAGAATTATATATGGTGAGCTTATGGGCTAACGATATTATATTATATTAATAAATATTAGAGTATATTAATATATGTATCTAATATAGTATACTATGTACATATATTATTTATATGTGTATTATATTAATATACATATAAGTATATTATTATTATATTTATATAATAAATATTATTATTAGTATATTATATTGAATTAATAAATATAATTAATAGTTGGCAAATATTAATTTTGTTTTAAAACTGATACAAGATTTAAGAAATACAGATAACTTCAAAGTCTCACATTAATGTAGAAGGTTCAAAATCTTTCGAAAAAAATAATGAAATATAAAATTATTATTTCTTAAAAATCGTTTTTATTACTACAGAGTATCAGTCCAGGATTAGTATCTACGAATATAATGCAGGCCAATAACTTCAACATAAAGGAGTCGTATAAGTCTTTGTATGCATTGGAACCTAATGATGTCGCAAATGCCATTATTTACGTAATTGGAACCCCACAACGCGTCCACATTACAGAATTGATTATTAGACCATTCGGAGAAGTTAAATATGCGGTGTAAATATATAATTAGATTATGTATAATATTCAAGATAAATATTATATTGTTATTATCTTTGTCAAAACACAATAAAGTATAATTTTTTTAGAAATTGACTAAAAATTATATCATATGAGAAAATGGAGACTATATTTTTTCCTTAATTTTAATGTTAATAATGTAAATAATTGTATAATTATATATAATTTATCCATGTATATATACACATATACGAACTTTTTAAATGGCTTTAATAAGTATTACGAAAAAAGATGTTTTATATAGAGGAACAGTAAAGTAAACGATTTCTGATCGATTTAAGTACAGACACATGTAACATTAGTAACTATTACAGAACAAGGAAGTTTTCTTCAAACGAGAGGATAGAATAACTATGATTTCGAATTTATAAGAATGCACAACTATATAATATTATTACGTATTACAGAAAAAAGAAGTTATTTCTAAACGATTCAAATAAAAAAATAAATTATTTTTAATCAATCTGAATATATGTAATATATCTATTTATTTAAAATAAGATCATTTTATACGGAATGTTTTTCCACTTCATATTTATTGCATTATCATATCATAATTATATGATGTTATCTGTGTGTGTATCTATAATCATAAGTATCTCGATTTTACAATTACATAACTTCTTTTTTTATCTCATTTTTAATCACTAATCCAACCTTGAATAGTAGTTCTTTGCTCCCCACTCTTCGAGTAATCAATTACACAGTGAATGTATGAGTAAATAAAGTAACATACTAGAACTGCTATCACTCCAAGAAGAAACTTCAACGTGATAACTCTGTCTCTCCTCATCACCTGACGCTCTTCCTTTTTCTGTTGAATGCGATTGGATATTGAAAACAAAAATGAAACGCTGGGCTGGTAAAGTAGCTATAGTTACTGGTGCATCTAGTGGCATAGGATTAGGAATAGTGAAAGCTTTTGTACAAAATGGAATATTCACGATTGGATTTGCTAGAAGAAAAGAGAAAATGGAGGTAAACTTTATCAAAATTGATTGGATGGTCCTCTTGTAGAATATTAAAAACAATTTTCGTCTTAGGAACTGTCTATTTAAAATTTGGTTCACTTTTATCTATTTAGATGAAATTTGCATTTATTTTTGCAAAATTATTTTATCATCTATCAGTAATTATTAATACAGGAAACATAAATATTGTTGTATTAAAAAACGAAATATAAATATGATTCTTTCACAATAAACATAAAATCAAATTAATTCATATTTAAAATTTTTAGAAAACAGACGATCGTAATTATATTGTATATTTTAATATAAGAAAAAATCGATTATAATATTGATATAATTAAATATTTCAATAAAAACTGTATGTAAAACTTTATATGAATCATTATATTTATATTATTAAACGAAACATTAAGAAGAAATCTTTGATTAGAGCGAAATGCAGAATGTTAAGGGAAAAGGTAAAGGAAAGTTCTATGCTTACGAGTGTGATGTTACCAAGCCCGAAAGTATCGAACAAGCATTCGAATGGGTCAAGAATAATTTTGGAACAGTACATATTCTGGTGAACAATGCTGGGGTCTCCTCAAATGTCAAATTTATGAGTATGTATATAATAATATGGATTTTTAATTACTTGGATAAAATTAATGAAATTTTCCCATAGATTCATCACGACCTGATTGGCAAAGATTATTCGATGTCAATGTGTTGGGATTAATTGATTGTACTAAACGTGCCGCTAGAATGATGCTAGATTCTGAAATAGAAGGTTATATTATTAATATAAACAGGTAAGCTAATAAATTTTAGTAAGTATTTTTTTTTCTATCATTCTTATCTTCGATTGTATACAGATAAAAATAATTGATAATGAAAATAATTAAATGTAAAAAAACGTAAATTATTATATATACACATATCTGTAGTATATATTTTTTTATTACAGTATCGCAGGACACTATCTAAATGTTTTCCCAAATTGTAGTCTTAACTTTTACCCAGCATCTAAATTCGCTTCCGTTGCTGCTACTGAGATCACACAAAAGGAATTGCATGGTAGTAAGATTCGAGTGACGGTAAATATAATGTCAATGTTGTATATTTAATAATAAATTGTCCCTCTATAATAAAATTTCGTTTCATGTTAATATCAATTGTTACTATAAAATAATGAAATAATATTTAAAAAATAAATATAACTTTAAACTTATATAGAATTATAGAGGATTAAAAATCATTAGAAAAAGTAACGAAATTATTGTATATATACATATATTAAAATTGTTCGTAATACTACAGAGTATCAGTCCAGGATTAGTATCTACGGAAATCTTCGATGCCAATAACTTTAATGCCAATAACTTCAACGTAGACACAATCAAGGATTTACCAATATTGGAAGCTGATGATATCGCAAATGCTGTTATTTATTTAATTGGAACTCCACAACGCGTTCATATTACTGAATTGATAATTAGACCTTTTGGAGAAGTTAAATATTAGTGTTAAACATGAAATAATATATAATATTTTAACTAAGCATTATATTGCTTCTATCTTAGTGAAAATAAGTACAATAAAAGTATTTTTTTTTAATAATATAAAAATTAACAAAAATTTACATTATAAGCGAAAATAAAAATCATATTGTTTATATTAATAGTAATGTTATTTATCTTATTACTTACAATAAAAAATTGTAATAGAAATTAAGACTGTTGGCGATCTGTTCCATTGTTTACCAATGCTGGCCCAGCTATTAATTTTCAACGAAACCTTGGTGAGATAGAGAACATTATTAAAATTGGAGAGAATTTTTGAGCAATTATACATTAGAATTATTAATTTCATTTTCGAATGTTGTCGATTATATAGATAATGTAAAAAACAATTATTGTTGAGAATATTTCTTTGCATACTATATCAACGAATTACATAGTTGTTACATTTAAACATATTATGCAATAGAGTTTTAGAATTTTCAATTAAACTAAAAAATTAGAGGTAGTATAAAGATTGAAAAAGTTGACCTTTTCTGGTCATGTTTAATATAAAAATGTTTCTTTACGCGTGTTTAATTATCTGCGAGATAAGCTTTGTGTACTCTTATTCGATTTTATCAAAGTTCAAGGACTTCATCAGTTCGTTCACCCTTCGTTTTGATGCCTCCAACAGATCTTGCTTGTACAATTTCAGCGGCTGTTCATGCGTCGATCATTCTTTTTTACGAGAAAAATAATAAACGTTTGGAAAAATTTTAATTTTGCTATTTTTTTGTGTATATATATATATACACACAAAATATGTATATATATATATATATATATATATATATATATATATATATATATAACAATAGAAGACTATAAATTTGTGAATATAGTAACAATGGTTATATTTATATATAAAATGTATCATTTTATAGGAAAATAATTGTAGGTATCTAATTGTTACATGTATAATATAATTACAATATAGATGGTGTAGAAATAACTTAATTTATACATAATTGTTGTCATACAATTATGTGGTATATAACTGTTATGTGTAAATATCATATATGATTATAAACAAGGACGGCAATAACTTTGATCATTATGAATAAGTGATAATTTTTGTGTACTCCTAAACAACATGCAAAAATCAATTCGATTTTTTGAAATGTAATAATAGTAGATTTGATCAATGCACGTTGACCTTTTTTTATAAGAAAGTATTAATTTATATATATCGAAAAATAATTACTTTAAAAAATATTTCATAGTTGTGTTCTTATTACGAAAGAAAACTTTTTTTGGGATTCTAATCTTTTTATTTTATACATTGGCGACTAATAATAGATCATCTATTCCTTATTTCAAATAATTAAAATAAAATTGATACAATTATTATAAAAATTTTAATTATTTCATTATCATTAGGACCTTGTTGCAAAAGAAATCGAAATATTTGCGTTTTTAAAATTATTAACATATACCGATGTTATTACAATATTTAAATGAAAAATTTACATAAAAAAATTTTAATAAAGAATAAATTATATTTAGAAATAGTTTTCCCCCCTGTCTAGGTACTTTGTCCCCGCCCCTTTGGTAGTTAGTCCCACCCTGGGCAACTTTGACCCCACCTCCTGGGTACTTTGACCACGTCTCCTGGGTACTTTGACCACGTCTCCTGGGCACTTTGACCACGTCTCCTGGACACTTTGACCACGTCTCCTGGGTACTTTGACCACGCCCTCCCAAGAAGTTAGCCCGGCCCTGTGGGTACTTTGACCACGCCCTCTTGGTAGTTATCTCCGCCCCCTGGGTACTTTGGCCCTGCGCAGACAGGCACGGCTCAGTTACTTCTTCCAACTGCGCAGATATCTACTGCGCATATAATCCTTGCGCATACAAGACAGTCATCCGCTGCATAAATAGACCCCCGTCCTTATAGGTCAGCCACCCCTAGGTAGTTAGCCACGCTCCCTAGGTGGTTTAGCCCCTCCTCTTTTATATTATCCCCGCCTCCTGTGTAGTTAACCCTTCCCTTCTCTATATTTGTTCCGCACCGCTTGCCCATTTACTTGCCCCCGTAGCCATTTACTTACTTTTCATTTGCTTCAATTGGAGGCTAGATGTGTGCTGCGATCAATGAACAAGGCAAGCATTCGTCATCTCTAATATTTGATAATCTATTATATAGGAACGATACTATTTAATTTACACTTCAAGAAAACGAATTATTCCACATTTTACAATATATACGTAAACATTTATCACCGTTTATTCGCGTTCACGATTTCATCTGGCCTTATTTTTCTAGCTAGAGTTTTTAGAAAATTTATATCGTCATCTTTTTACATTCTATTACAAACATTGCTTGTACAACCTCAGACAAGTTATATTCAAAAAAGAATGTTTGAGCGCAAAGCGGAGAACTACTGACTTCGCCATCGAAGCATGGTATGGCAAGCCACTGTAGATGGACACGCCTGCGAGATATAATTAAACATGTAGCCGGTGCTTAATTTAATCGAAGCAGCCTTCCTCGATAAATTCCTCTTCCATGATCCGCTCGACTGGCTACAATTTTGCGGTCAGCGTCTCGGTTGTTTCGTCTCGTCTTTGCATCTATTTCAAAGAAAGTCTAAGCTTTTAATTAAAGAATTAAAAGAGATCGCGACTTGGTCTAAGAAGAAGAAGAAGATGAAGCATCCGAGGAGTCCAAAAAGGAAGAGAAAAGAAATTCGTATCTCGGCGAGAAATCGATTTCGTCGACCCGCGGGAACAATTTTATTTCAAGCTTTATAGAAAGACGACTAATACTGCCAGTTATTGTTAAACGATGATATTTTCGATTTTGGTTTTATTTCCATCCGGTTGGAGTTTCGTCGAAATTACGAACCTTCTCTTACCAAAATTTCGTCTTTGCTTTACTATAAAAAAATATATTGTCAATGAAAATCCTTTTTTTCTAAGGCAGATAAATTTTATTCGTTCTTATATTTTTCGTCGATCGACGAAAAAATTTTTAGTCTACTTCAATGATAATTTTTATTGATTATTATGTCGGTGACATAGAACGTATTCATGTTATATTTTGTTTTGGAAAAAGGATGATTCGAAAATTACATTGTAAATGGAGAAAGGTGGTTAACATCGCGCTCATCGTTCGTATTCGCTAAAACATACGACAACATCCACTCCGCTTTTTTGCGTGTTATGAAGCACCAAAGAGATATATGTCGAGGATGAAGAGGGAAGAGAAAAGGGGAAACGAATCATGATCGTTGATGGATTAAAAGGGAAATTCTCTAGAGTAAGAAAGGAAGGAAGAAAGGAACGGAATAGTTTGAGGCGCGCCTTCGTTTGCCATTTATCAAAAGTACTGTACGATCTCTTTCTCTCTCTTTCTTTCTTGTCGTATCTGCCATCCGTGCGAAAAAGTTTTCTCAGTCCTTCCGGGACGGCCTTCGCCGTTTTCTTCGAGGACGAATAACGTGAAAGAAATGGATTACAAGGATAGGGCAAAACCTTGAATCTCTCTTTCTCTCTTTTCTCCTTTCTCCATCTACTATAAAGGCATTCCTTTTTCTTTCTTTCAGCTTTTACCTGTCGCCCAGACCGGCGCCCTCACCACGGGTACGACCACCACTTTTGACGTTCTTGTAGTCGTCTTAAAGTTTCTGTGACTGTCGCTCGAAAAGTGCCGGATAGGAAGAAAAGCTTTGGAATTATGGTAATCCCATAGCTTGTCAAAGAGAACCGGAGATGATCGCGAAGGATTCAAATGTCGCACGATCTTGTACTTAAGTTTCTAGTCGGAGTCTGCTTTCCCGATACTTTTTCAAATTATTCCGATTACGTCAATTTCTATTCGTTCGGGTAGAGTTTTAAAAAGAACGCCGGTAAAAAAAAAAGAAAAAGGGAACAGTAGCCACTTCGCTACTGATCAGCCTGCTAACGACGAACGCGACTTTTATAAAATATTTTTGTCAAAGAATAATTTTGGAACAATCCATATTCTGGTGAACAATCCTGGGGTCTCCTCAGATGCCAAATTTATGGGTATGAATATAAAAACGCGGATTAGTAATTAGTTTAATAATATTGACGAGACTTTTCAACAGATTCATCTAGACCTGATTGGAAAAAATTATTCGATGTAAATGTGTTGGGTTTAATTGATTGTAGTAAACGTGCCGGTAGAATGATGTTAGATTCTAACGTGGAATGTTACATTGTTAATATGAACAGGTTTGCTAATAAATTTTATTAAATATTTTTTTCTTCGTATCGTTGTTATCATCAATTGTTTATAAATCACAATAATTGCCAATAAGAATAATTCGTAAATTTTTATATTTGTATATATTTATATTATATATCTTTTTTATTGTAGTGTCTTAGGACACAACGTTGATCTTCCGGGTTTTACACTTAACTTTTACCCATCGTCCAAATCCGCTTCTGTTGCTGCTACTGAGATCATACAAAAGGAATTACATGGCAGCAAAATTCGAGTGACGGTAAATATAATGGCAATATTAGATATTTAATAAGACATTAACTTTCTATAATCAAATTTTGTTTCATATTCAAAAAGAATTATATATGGTGAGCTTATGGGCTAACGCTATATTAAATTATATTAATAAATATTAGAGTATATTAATATATGTATCTAATATAGTATACTATGTACATATATTATTTATATGTATATTATATTAATGTACCTGTAAGTATATTATTATTATACATATATAATATATATTATTATTAGTATATTATATTGAATTAATAAATATAATTAATAGTTGGCAAATATTAATTTTGTTTTAAAACTGATACAAGATTTAAGAAATACAGATAACTTCAAAGTCTCACATTAATGTAAAAGGTTCAAAATCTTTCGAAAAAAATAATGAAATATAAAATTATTATTTCTTAAAAATCGTTTTTATTACTACAGAGTATCAGTCCAGGATTAGTATCTACGAATATAATGCAGGCCAATAACTTCAACATAAAGGAGTCGTATAAGTCTTTGTATGCATTGGAACCTAATGATGTCGCAAATGCCATTATTTACGTAATTGGAACCCCACAACGCGTCCACATTACAGAATTGATTATTAGACCATTCGGAGAAGTTAAATATGCGGTGTAAATATATAATTAGATTATGTATAATATTCAAGATAAATATTATATTGTTATTATCTTTATCAAAACACAATAAAGTATAATTTTTTTAGAAATTGACTAAAAATTATATCATATGAGAAAATGGAGACTACATTTTTTCCTTAATTTTAATGTTAATAATGTAAATAATTGTATAATTATATATAATTTATCCATGTATATATACACATATACGAACTTTTTAAATGGCCTTAATAAGTATTACGAAAAAAGATGTTTTATATAGAGGAACAGTAAAGTAAACGATTTCTGATCGATTTAAGTACAGACACATGTAACATTAGTAACTATTACAGAACAAGGAAGTTTTCTTCAAACGAGAGGATAGAATAACTATGATTTCGAATTTATAAGAATGCACAACTATATAATATTATTACGTATTACAGAAAAAAGAAGTTATTTCTAAACGATTCAAATAAAAAAATAAATTATTTTTAATCAATCTGAATATATGTAATATATCTGTTTATTTAAAATAAGATCATTTTATAAGGAATGTTTTTCCACTTCATAATTATTGTATTATCATATCATAATTATATGATGTTATCTATGTGTATATCTATAAATATAAGTCTCTCGATTTTACAGTTACATAACTTCTTTTTTTATCTCATTTTTAATTACTAATCCAATCTTGAATAGTAGTTCTTTGCTCCCCACTCTTCGAGTAACCAATTACACAGTGAATGTATGGATAAATAAGGTGGCATACTAGAACTGCTATCACTCCAAGAAGAAATTTCAACGTGATAACTCTGTCTCTCTTCATCACCTCACACTCTTCCTTTTTCTGTTGAACGTGATTGAATATTGAAAACAAAAATGGAACGCTGGGCTGGTAAAGTAGCTATAGTTACTGGTGCATCTAGTGGCATAGGATTAGGAATAGTGAAAGCTTTTGTACAAAATGGAATATTCACGATTGGATTTGCTAGAAGAAAAGAGAAAATGGAGGTAAACTTTATCAAAATTGATTGGATGGTCCTCTTGTAGAATATTAAAAACAATTTTCGTCTTAGGAACTGTCTATTTAAAATTTGGTTCACTTTTATCTGTTTAGATGAAATTTGCATTTATTTTTGCAAAATTATTTTATCATCTATCAGTAATTATTAATACAGGAAACATAAATATTGTTGTATTAAAAAACGAAATATAAATTTGATTCTTTCACAATAAACATAAAATCAAATTAATTCATATTTAAAATTTTTAGAAAACAGACGATCGTAATTATACTGTAGATTTTAATATAAGGAAAAATCGATTATAATATTGATATAATTAAAGACTTCAATGAGAACTGTATGTAATACTTTATATGAATCATTATATTTATATTATTAAATGAAACATTAAGAACAAATCTTTGATTAGAGCGAAATGCAGAATGTCAAGGGGAAAGGTAAAGGAAAGTTCTATGCTTGCGAGTGTGATGTTACCAAGCCCGAAAGTATCGAACAAGCATTCGAATGGGTCAAGAATAATTTTGAAACAGTACATATTCTGGTGAACAATGCTGGGGTCTCCTCAAATGTCAAATTTATGAGTATGTATATAATAATATGGATTTTTAATTACTTGAATAAAATTAATGAAATTTTCCCATAGATTCATCACGACCTGATTGGCAAAGATTATTCGATGTCAATGTGTTAGGATTAATTGATTGTACTAAACGTGCCGCTAGAATAATGTTAGATTCTAACGTGGAAGGTTATATTATTAATATGAACAGGTTTGCTAATATATTTTACTAAATTTTTTTTCTTCATATCGTTGTTATCATCGATTGTTTATAGATCAAAATAATTGATAATGAAAATAATTAAATGTAAAAAAACGTAAATTATTATATATGCACATATCTGTAGTATATATTTTTTTATTACAGTATCGCAGGACACTATCTAGATGTTTTCCCAGATTGTAGTCTTAACTTTTACCCAGCATCTAAATTCGCTTCCGTTGCTGCTACTGATATCACACAGAAGGAATTATATGGTAGTAAAATTCGAGTGACGGTAAATATAATGTCAATGTTGTATATTTAATAATAAATTGTCCCTCTATAATAAAATTTCGTTTCATGTTAATATCAATTGTTACTATAAAATAATGAAATAATATTTAAAAAATAAATATAACTTTAAATTTATATAGAATTATAGAGGATTAAAAATCATTAGAAAAAGTAATGAAATTATTGTATATATACATATATTAAAATTGTTCGTAATACTACAGAGTATCAGTCCAGGATTAGTATCTACGGAAATCTTCGATGCCAATAACTTTAACGTAGACACAATCAAGGATTTACCAATGTTGGAAGCTGAAGATGTCGCAAATGCTGTTGTTTATGTAATTGGAACTCCGCAACGTGTTCACATTACTGAATTGATTATTAGACCTTTTGGAGAAGTTAAATATAAGTGTTAAACATGAAATAATATATAATATTTTTGATAGATTAAGAATTATATCACTGAAGAAAATCAGATTGTATTCTGTATTTAATTGTAATATTACTAATCCCGTTGTCCTATAAAATTGTATTTGAAATTAAATTTTGTTATTATTTGTTGCATTGTTTACCAATGCTGGCACTACAATCTATTTTCAAAGAAATGTCATGGTAAGATAGAGAACATTATTCAAGTTGCAGAGAATTCACGGTAGAAGTTATGTATTAAAGTTATTAATTTTTATTTAGAGTATTGTCAATTATTCTAAATAATATTTATATAAAATATGATTATCGATCAGAAAATTTCTTAGCGTTTTGACATACACAATCGTTACAACACATGACATTACCAAAAGATAAAAATAAGAATATTAAGCAACATAAACAGATAGTACAGAAATAATTCGACGTTACATCAGATAATCTTTATGAATATAGAATCTTTATCTAAACTATCGAACCAAATATATATATGGAGATAAGTTAATCGTATCTTTTTCTTAGGTTTAATTTTATTTTATGAGACTTGATCTTTGACTCAGTATCATAAGTATCGTGACTCTTATTAATTATAATATTTTATTTTCCTGATTTTTCTTATCTGTAAGATTAGATAAACATTATATTTCCTGTTAAACATATAAAAAATTAAGCAAGATAAAGTTACACTTATCTATTTACAAAATATAAAAAAGGAACACACTTTCTAAATGTATCACGATGTGAATAGTTCATACATAATGAGAAGGAAAAGATTAATTAGGAAGAGTCATCATTAAGATTATCATCATTAAGATTAATCTTAATTAAAGTTCTTAAATATCTTGAAAAAAGTTCTTTCCACGTCTGTTTCTATCCGTATTAATCTTAGCCTGACGTGCTGCCTCGGTGGCTTTATCAGCAGCTTGCTTCGTCTCCGCAAGTTCAACCTTGGCTAATTCCAAACGCTTCACTAGTTCTTCCACTCTTCGTTTCGATGCCTCTAAAAGCTCTTGCTTTTCTTCAAAATCCCTCTTTGCACCTTCAGCAGTTGTTCGTGCACTTCCCATGTTTATATTTGCTATTTGTATCGCTTGTGATAACGTTTTGATCTACAAAATTTATATTTTGTTTTTTCTGCTTTTCTTTTTATAAAATCAATCACCCCGAGATATAAATTAACGTTTAAAAAAATTTCAATTTTACTATTTATATATATATATATATATATATATATATATATATATATATATATTGGGTTGGCAACTAAGTGATTGCGGATTTTGTGTATAGATGGGACTTTACACTTTCCTCAATCACTTAGTTGCCAACCCAATATATTTATAAATTTATAAATATATATAACTATCATATAATTATATTAATATATATAAAATTATATGGCTATAATTATAAACAAAGAGAAGCATTAACTGATCATTATAAATAAGTTTCACTAAAATGTAATCATATGTTTTTAGTATCCCTTATTTCAAATAATTAAATAATTAAATTTAAATAATTAAAAAAAATTTACATAAATATGATACAAATTTAAATGTTTTCATTATAATTATGTCTTTATTATGAGAGAAAAGAAAAAATTCAATTTTAATAATTATTAACAAAATCGATTTTATTATACCAATATTATTGCAATATTTAATTAAATAGAAAATAAATTATCTTTGAAAACGGCGTTGGTTTCAAATCTCTACGACTTTCCGTTCCGAAGATATCGCCTTCGAAAGATTTTCATTCATAATTCGTATTGTAAAGCTGTTCATAGTAGTAGTAGTAGTAGTAGTAGTAGTAGTAGTAGTAGTAGTAGTAGTAGTAGTAGTAGTAGTAGTAGTAGTAGTGGTAGTAGTAGTAGTAGTAATAGTAGTAGTAAGACCAAGTAAATTCTCGAAATCTATGTAGGTCTGTATGTCACCGAGCTAATTGAATGGAATTATATGGATCAATGGATGAACGTAATATCTTTCTCTTTTCATGGAAATATCTTCGCAACTAAAAATCGTTGAAACTTGTTTCAAATACCATTTTAAAGGGGAAATATTTCTCTCTTTTTTCATCCTATTGTTAATAATAAATTAACAATTTATTATAAACAATTTCTATAAACAAATTCCTATGAACTAGATCCACTTCATTTTATTATAAAAAAGAAGAAAAAATAAGATTGCGACTGAATTATAAAATTACAATAAATTAATAATTAATTAATAAACAAATTGATTTTTTTTTTACCAAAGAAAACAATTGTTTTTCTTACATTATCAATATCGTCTTTTTTCATTTGCATGAAAATATCTTCGAAACTCGAATTAGAATTTTTTTTATCTTTTTCAATTTATTGTTTATAATTAATTATCACTTTGTTATAAATAATTTTTTTTAAGTAAATTTCTACGTAAATTGAATTCATCTTATTTTGGCAAATAAAATCAGATTGCTTTTAATTTATAAAATTACAATGAATTAATTAATAATTAATAAAGAGATTACTTTTTTAAAGAAGAAATAATTTTTTTCCTTAGTATTAATAGACACATCTTTAGAGAAGTTACATTTATTATTTGATCCTATCGCTAAATTCAATGAACAAATCGATATATCTTAGTTTCATAAAAAATTTTAAATAGATTATTTCTGACCTGTTCTTGAGCCTGTCGTGCCGCTTGCATAGCAGAATTCGCGTTTTCTTGAGTACGTTGGAGTGATGAACTTTCTTCCTGGACTACAGTCTCTGCCTCCTTTGTCTCTTGTTCGAGTTGCTCTACCATTGCTTGCTTCGCAGCAAGTGCTGCCTCCGCTGCTTTTGCTGCTTGTATCGCTTTACCTGCCAGCTGATTTTTCACCTGAACATTGATACAAAAGGTTCAGTTTTGTGTTTGATGTGTCTTAATTTTTTTTTTTTGTTAATCTATTATAAGGTCTTATTGTCATTATTATTATTATTATATTTTATGGGAATCGTAAAATTATCTAAAGATGATGAGAGGATTATGTTATCTGGCAAACTTTGTTTCTATCTAATATTTAATTTTAATTTAAAATATTTCTTCTTTTTTTTTTTTATTGTCATTGATACCAAATTTTTATATTTATCGTATATTTAAATTTTATTATGATTTAATGACGATGCATCATAAACAATTATTGATAATATTTAATTTTTAATACTTATTAAATATAATATTTTATTTATTATATATTTAAATTATATTTTATATATTATATAATATATCATATATTTTATATATTATATATAATATATATATATATATTTATATATATATATATAATATTTATTGAATATATTGAAATAATTCTTTTACATATTTCCTTTTTCTAATAACTTAGACATAATGTTCTTTTTTATATAAGACCACCCTTTCTCTAAATTTAAGGCAACGATGATTAAATCAATTGGAAAATACTCCGCATACATTAGAACGTAGAGAATTCTTTTAGTCCGTTTAGTCAGATCACGAGATCAGGCACGTGCTTAGCTACAGTCTAACGAAAGTGATCACGTTTGCAGTAGATAAATACGTACGTAACTATTTTTTTTTTTTTTTTGAGAAGTAAAGAAAAAATATTTCTTCAAAGTAGGAGAACGGCCAAGATAGTGTCCATAAAAGTACAATAATTCAAACGTGTACCGTTTGAAAGAAAATCATAAATATCGCACGATAAAAAGATATTACAATATTTCAGATGTACAATAATTTTGTTATTTAATCTAAACAATAATTTTGTTTTCTAACGAAAGATTATTAATGATAACTTTTATTTGTCAGATTTCAATTATGCAAAAGTAATGAATCAGTGTATCATAATTGTATGTCTATAATATACATACATATACGCAAATATATATGTATGTATATTATATATGTACAATATCGTCTCACGATAGTAGAAGTTAATTTCGATATATCTTGGAACGAGATTCGACTTGAATTCGATCGATCGATCGATTTTATTTACTGCCTATGGCTTAACCAGGACGAAAGTTTATCTCGATAGTGTAGGTGTATAAACTAGTTTTAGAAAAGGTATATATGTATATATATATAAAACTAAACGTGCGTCATGATCGCTCGATAAGTATATTGTATATGAACTTTCGACGTCAAACGATCTATCTTTGGATATTTCTAATATAATATTCGAACTTTTAATATTATATTCATGGAATTTTTTTTTATTCACTTTTTTATGAAAAATTTTGAAATTACTTATAGTATAAACCAGTATTATATTATTGTTTATTTAATAATTTAATAATTAATATTTAATAATTAATTTAATCTTCGTTATTTAATTGTTATACTTATCTAGTGTTATTTTTGATCTAATATATTAAAATTTTGTTTCATTATTCAATTATTCATTAATCAATCAAATATATTTATATTATACTATTAGTATGTATTACTAATAGTATACCATAATAATAGAGTAATGAAATTTTATGAAATTTTATGATATCTCTCGTGGCGTTGATTAATAATGAAGCTACGAAGATCTGAATTGTACGTTTCTTTTCTTTCTTTTCTTTTCAACGTTAATCCAAATTATTAAAAGGTTTTCTTTTATATATATATATAGTAAATATCCTTTAAATATAGAAAGAGAGAGAATTAGAAAGAGAAATGAACAAAACTATAGAAAAACTTAAATTATTCTTTAGAATAGTGTTAAATCGATATATGTTATGTTTGTCAAAAATTATCCAATTAGATAACGAACCTGTAACTTACTGTTACGACACTCAAAATTACACGTTGACGTAAATTCACGCACATATATATGTATATATATATATATATATATATATACATATATACACACAAACACAAATATATATAAATATATATATATCTATGTATATATGTATATATAAATGTATACATACACATGTATATATAAATAGACGTATGCGTTTCTGTATTACGTTCTAGAAAGGTAGAAAATCGGCGAACCGTAACAACACGTTTATAACTGACTCACGATTTCAATGTAAATGTCAGCGAAAACGCAAGTCGAAGGTATCAATGATAGGTATAACTATTATCAATGTGAGATCATTTTAAAGAGCTTATCGTGAGCGTGGAAATTATGAATAAAGCGTGAGAATTTTTCGAATGATTTTCACACATATATATATTTCTCTCTTTTTTTTTTTTTTTTATAATTTAATCCTAAATAATCATTATTATTTAATAAATAATGATAAAAAAGAAAGAAGAAAAGAAAGTTAATCGTGTGCAATAGAAAAAATTTATAAAAATTCGAATTTAATAATTAAAATTGATCTTATAAACGATCCATCATGATTCATGTTTTTTTTTTTCGTCGTAAAAAGTAATCCAACGTCATCTCTCTTTTTCTTTTCTTTTTTTTTTCTGATTAACAATACTCACTTGATGAGATGCTTGTGCGCCTGCAGGATTTTGCGCATTCTGTGCAGCTTTGGCATCATCTGCAGCTTTTTGAGCGATACCGACGATTTGATTTGAATTTTTTGGAATCACATCTAACCTATCAGACTGAAGATAATTTTTATATTGTAATAGATATTTCTTTTCGTAGTTTTCTTTTTAACTGATTTAAGCAATTTGATTTACCTTTCGTATCTTTCTAGTTTTTTCCGTCCCATTCGAGCCCTCAAAAATAACTAAGAACGATATTTAATTCGATAGAAGATATTCTAATGCTTCTATTGAAAATTAATATATATTTGTTATATATATATATATATATGCGTGAATGCGTGCGTGCGTGTGTGTGTGTATGTGTGTGTTTGTGTGTACAAATTGCTACTAACGTGCATATACGATTAATAAGAGAATTATCTTCATCCCTTAAAGATATCTTTTTAAATTGTGTTTTTTCATGAGACAATCCTTGAATAGAAATAAACGTGATCTTATCTGTGTTCAATATGAAAATGTCATCTAAACATCTGAAGTTGATTGATAATCTCGAACGTTTGTTATCAATTCTTTCATAATAAAACGATTAAGTGTGTACATATAGAGTGTATTCGTGTATTGGTGTATTCGATGATACACCAATATTAATCCTATTTATTATTAATTGAAAGTTTTATTGGCGTTTGAAAAATTATTAAAAATATTTTGTAAATAAATAACAAATTAATTTTATATATTGTATATCTATGGGAGAAATTAACTTTAGTTATTTCTTTTTGTTTAATTTTTTTAATTTCCCTTATATGCTAAAAAAAAGTTCATTTTCTTACAAACGTAATAAATAATATGTTAAACACAATATATGGATAAAATTTAAATTATTTTGTACTTTTATTATTCTTTTTAATCGAATACACAGCACATATAAGTACATATACAGGACATATACCAGGCGTAATAAATATTATTATAAAAGGAAAAAAGAAAAAAAAGAAAAAAAAAAAGAAAAAGAAAAAAAAAGAAAAAGAAAAAAAGAAGAAAAAAAAACAGGTCGTCGGGCAGTGGCAATTAGAAACTAAATGTAGTGCTCTTTTTATCTATAATCTATATTAGGGATTTGAGAAAAGGAAAAGAAACGTTACTTCGCATTCAAGTTAACTTCCTTCTCCTTCTTCTTCTTCTTCTTCTTCTTCTCCTTTCTATTTTATTTTTACCAGTTTGTCGATACTTCCGGTTTGAATTCTCGGAGGATCTCGAGCGTAACAACGACTTCCTTTTGTTGCGATTTGCATTGGCCTTCGCTTCGTGAGCTGCCTCATTTGCTTGGGCCGCAGCACGATTTGTATTTGCTAAATCTTGCTTAGCAATTCGTAATTCGTTGGTCAGTTCTTCGAGACGTCTCTTTGCCGCCTCGAGTAATTCTTCTTTCTCATGTAATGACTTTTGGGCACCGTCAGCCGCCGATCTTGAATTCGCTGCGTTTCCCTTCGCCGTTTGCATCGCGCGTGTGAGTATTTTCACCTGTCAATACCCCATCAACACAATCGATTATTTTAAATGATTGAATAACTAATCATATAAATAAATCATCATATCTATATCTTTATGTAAATAATCTTGGAATTTTTATGAATATTTTATATATAAATAAATAATATTAGTTTTTAATAACAATAATATAATATTAAATTGCCGATTAAGTAATATTATTATTTTCAGTAATAAATCCAAGATGACAAATTTAAACATGACAACGTGTCCATGTGTGTGTATGTGTTTGTGTGATTTTTATTAGTTACCAAAGTAATTATAAGTAAATGAAAAATATTTCAAGCAAAGAAAATAGCAATCTATAAAATGTTTGGCCAATAATTAGAAAAAGTTAGAAATAAAGTAGAACAAAATTTTGGTGTAAAATTAATTTGTCTTGTAAAACAGATTACGTGTAAATAATCGAAAGAAAGAAGGTATTGTGTGTGTGCGTGTATGTGTGTGTCTATATATATATATACATATATTTATTCCATAATGACTTCTGTTTCCGTATCTTTTGGTAAATCGTTTTAATTTTTTAATGAGCTGACGAAACCATTAAAAGGCACGTAAGGTATTTGATAATTAATAGAAACGAGAATGCAGTTCTCAGAAAAAACAATTCTCGTCCAATTTTGTCGATATAACAAGATAACAGAAATAATTCAAAATGAAAAAGAATTTTTTTTTCTTTTTGGAAATGGGCGTTTTCTCAAGGGATCGCGACGAAGAAATAATGCTGACAGCTAGAAAGGTGTTTGAAAAAGATTAGAAAGTATTGGTGACTCAATATGGTGAGGTGAATCGAACAAGTTGCATATTTCTAGAGTGCACACTTTGATCAACTGGATCTGGTCAATCTATCTTTGTCAATCATTAACGAATACAAAGATGCAGCAATTTAATTGAATTCTTTCGTACTCCAGTTAGTTTGAAAATAATTTAGAATGATTCTAAGGTGGTTAAATCAAAAAGAAATCTAAAAGAAAAAAAAAACAAAAAAGAAAAGAAAGATGATTGACATTACAAACTTATAAAAATGACGGATTTCATAAGAATACGATTGAATTAATAATTATCAGAAAGATATTAAGTAAAATTTATTTTTATATTTATTTATTATTATAAATAAGATAATAATAAATAAATAAATTTTTATGTTTCAAATACTTGTGAAATTATTTTGATAAAAACTTTCTCTATTTATATATTAATTTACGATACGATCGAATGAATTAAAAGTAATGAATAAACGAATTTAACTGGTTTTCTTGAAAAAATATTTCACCAAATAGAAAAAAGTAGATTGATAATTTTAAATATTAAATCGTATACGTTTTAATAACGCTTAATCAACGTTTATCCGTCAGTATCGACACATTGACATTATTATTATTATATTTTTTTCTTTTTCTTGAACTAGAACTGAGTATGTTATTAAACGAATGCAAAGGAGAAAAAGAGCACGATCAATTAATGTGCAAAAAAAAAGAATGTAAGTAAGACAAAGAGATAGAGAAAGAGAGAAAGAGAGAGAAAGAAAGAGAGAGAGAGAGAGAGAGAGAGAGAGAGAGAGAGAGAGAAAGAGAAAGAGAGAAAGAGAGAGAGAGAGAGAGAGAAAGATTACATCAAATCTCCATAAAAAGATTTTTCATAATTGATAGCTGACAATGATAATAATTTTCATAGAATATTATAGTTACATATAGTTGCGTAGGAAGAAATAGATTTCAATAAAAATTGCAACAACTCAGCTATCGATGTTTCACACATTGATGGATAGAATGAAAAAGAGAGAAGGGAAAAGAAAGGAGGGAGGAATACCCTTGACTCCCTTTGACGAGTCACTATGAAACGAGGATATATCGATCCTGGGAAGACCTACTTATCTTCTCTGGTCGTTTCCCTTTTCTATGTGCGTACGTAAACTGGCGAATGGAAAAAGTATGACTGGGATATTAAAAGAGATCAGCCATAGCCTTGAGCTACGTTCTATTACCAAAGAGATTGCGTAGGAAATTGTAAATTTCTTCTGGTAAAATTCTTTTTATACTTTAAGTATAGCTGCTGTACCTGTATCACAATATATATATATATATTTTTTTTTCCTTTCTCCCCTCGAAGATAATATTGGGATTATCAAATTTTAAATAAAATTTGTTCGGATTCAATTATGAAAATTACAGCTTTATAATTACGATGTTTTGTTCGAATTTTCTTTTTTCTTTTCTTTTCCTTTTTCTCTTTTTTTTTTTTTGTTTTTCTTAAAAATTTCGTTACCGTTTAATTTATTTATAATTTTCCTTTCCTTTTTTTCTTCTTCTTCTTCTTCTTCTTCTTCTTTTAAAGGTTTTAAAAGATACATAAAAATTTCATTTTTTGTTTACTTTTACCTGATCTTGTGACTCTTTGGCAGCTTCGATGGCAGCGTTAATGTTAGATTTCGCTTGCTGTAGAGACTCCATTTCTTCTTGAACGACTGTTTGAGATTCCCTCACTTCTTCTTCTAATTGCTGAACCATTGCTTCTTTCCCCGACAATGCTGCCTCAGCAGCTCTTGCAGCTTGCAATGCCTTCTCTGCCAATTGTGCTTTCACCTTAAATTTCAATCACGATTATTATTATTATTGTTATTATTATTATTATTATTATTATTATTATTATTATTATTATTATTATTATTATTATTATTATTATTATTATTTGTACCCTCATGAATTTAAGATAAGGACAATGATATATTTTTATTTGTTAAAGATAAAAAGATAGGATAGAATATTTCTAAGAATTTAAATGAATCGAAAGGATAGTAAAAACATTAAATATTTTTTTTTTTTTCAATTAGAATAAGAATTAGTGTTAATAAGTACTTGACGTGCTGCCTGCTGACCAGCCATATTTTGAGCTTCTGAGGCAGCTTTAGCTTCCTCTGCAGCTTTCTGAGCAATGCTGCTAGCTTTCTCGATAGTTTTTTTCGCGTTTTTCGCATGACAAGATGGACCATTTTCAACTAATCGAACATCCCTATGTTTCTTACAATTCAATTGAAATGAACATAAATTAATGTATTAAAAATGAAAAAAAAGAAATATATATATATATAAAAGCATTTTTTCTTCTTCTTTTCCTTTTTTTATTTTATTATCTTTTCTTAACGCTATTATTACCGATTCGATTGAAGTTCTTCGAACCCGTTCACAGTCGAGCTTACCGATCATCAGCATGACTAAAATATGAATGATTGTGCATTGTGGTTAAGAAAATAACGAGGCAAAACAAAAAAGTTCTATTTTAAAATACTTACCGATGTAAGATAAAAAAAGAATACGATACATTTTAAGCGAGTAACCGTGCCAAGGACGATTTTATGAAAAATCTTTTTATGGAGCCCATGTCTTTTCTTGTTAAATTCAATCGATTCGTGTCGATCGATTGGGTTTATTGGTTAGAAGACATGTATCGAGCGGGAAAACGATTGAAATACGATTTTATCGAATTGTTTATTGATGATAATATATATATATATGTATATATATATATATATATATATATATAATATAATATATATATATAATATAATATAAATATATAGATTATAATTATAAATAAAAATAAATATAAATATATACTATGATTATTATATTATAATATGTACTTTCGATGGTACTTATATATGTGTATATCCTGATTCCAATCGATATATATATATATATATATATATATATATAATAATAAATTAGATATTATATATATATATAATAGATTAGATATTATATATATATATATATATATATATGTGTAATAGATTTAATCTTTCTAAACTAATCGATTCGTTAAACGGTCATAATTTTTTTTGTCGACCTTTTAACCCCATGTAATCGAGATCGAAAGATATATTCTCGCGTTTCGTAGAATTCCTTAACATTACTTTACGCAATCCTTGCTTCTATTATGCCCCAGAGAATCACGAAGTTTCAACGAAAAGATATAGTATATCGTGCGTTTCTGATCAATAAAAGAGAAATGATTGGAGTAACGTTGTGTTTCATTCGAAAGAAATGGAAACTTATTTCACAAGCTTAATTAAAATCGTGTCCTTTCAAGAGTTCAACGATCTTTCATTGTTTTATTATTTTTTTAATAATTGAAAATTTTTTTAATCATTTTAATAAAAGTATATAAGAACGAAAAAAAAAATACTAATAAATTTGTTTCTTCTTGTGTACATATATGTTGGGTGTAAGCATGTGTGTGAAAAATTTACGACATCGATATTTCCGATATTTTTATCGAAATTTTCCAGATTGATTTGTGTTTACATATAGGTATATATGTATCTATTTAAGTGTGATAAATTCTTGACATTGTATTGATATTTTCCAGAGGGCTTGATAAAATCTTAAATAAAATTACGATTCTCAGCGCATAGTCAACGTTATTGTAACCTTCATTTGCAATGCATATGTGACCTACTTTTGCATTATACGTAACGAACGATTTATTCTTTTAGGAAGATTCATAAGTTTTTGATCTATAATAGTTGTTTTATTTATAGATTACGATCTTCTCAAAAATTCATTAGTTACAAACGATTTTAAAATAATTACATTTAAATTAATACATTTAAGTATTATATGTATAATTAATAAGATGAAATAGTATATAAAAAAATTATTTTTCTAAGTTAAGGTAATTAATATTATATATTCTAAATTTATGAATTAAAATATTATATTATATTAATCTAATATATATATAAATTATTATTATTTAATATCATAGTACTTGTAATATATTGTTATTTTCTTTATATTATCATTTATTATTATTAATTATACATATTATAATGTATTATTATAATACGTTATACTTTTTTTATTAGTTAATTTAGACTTTTACCAAGATAAGACATATTATTTGTTAGCGATTAGTAAGTTTTTCGGCCGATCGGTTACGCTTCTAACGATCTAATGAAATAAAAAAAAAAGTTCAAGTAGATGTATTGTAGTCGGCAGTTGGAAAAGGACATTGCCGTGGTTGGCTCTTTTAAACGTCTACAATCCCTTCCGTGGCAATAGACTAAGCTGCTGGTCCAGTGAGGACTATAAGAGCTCCGATGACTGGGAAAGTAATATCAGTTGTTGGCTCTTTCTTCGAGCAAGGACAGCTCCAATTCTCGTCAACGTTCGATCATTTCGATCATTGAGTAAGTAATATAAACAATTTCCGAAGTTATTGACGTTAATTCTGTTCGAATTTCAACTTTGAAGTCACGAAATCGTTCCAAATCTTTGTTAATGAGAAAACAATAGTGAATTACCATAAATTATCTCTCTCAATGATGATAGGAAATAGTAAGATTCATTTAGATCAAATCGATTAATTTTCTTCGATCTTCCTCTTGTATATTTAGATCAAAATATCCTCGTTTTATTCTCTCTCACTCTCTCTCTTATTTTTTTTTTGCTTTTCTTTTTTTATATTAATCGTCTTTCGTAATCTATAATTTGTAATTTGTAATTCGTAAATTCGTCTATCGTAAATGATCACAATAAATAATCATAACGATTGACAGGATTTGTTTAGATCAAATCGATCAATTTTATTCAATATTGCTCTTATAATTAAAATGTCTTGGTATTAATTATTATTTTTCTTTTATTTCTTTTTCTTTTTTTTGTTCTTTATTTTGTCGTAAAATTCATGGTAAAAAAAAAAAATTGCATCGTTGTTATGGTTTTTCTTTTTTTTTTGTTCATTTAATTTATTGGATAGATTAATTATATGTCAGGATCATAAAAATTTTTTTATTTCTGTAGTAGATTTCCAATAGTTATATATACAGGATAGAAGGTAAACGTTCATGGTCATCCCCTACTTAATAATTTTTTGCATAATTTCATTTTATATTAGATTTAGTTCACTAGATTCTTAGGGTTTTATCTACCTTTACATAATTAAACGATTGCATACATTGCTGTTGTAATGTATAATAAAATGGAGTAGATAATCTCATAAAAACTTTATAGTTTCGAAATAAAATTAACAAAAAAGAGAGAAAAAAAAGAAGAAAAGTAAAATGAATAAAAAAAGACTTATAATTCTTCACCAAAATGTTAAAATGTTCGCGAAATTTGAATATCGTAACATGAAAATTCGTATCGTTTCCTTTCTCTCCGCCCACAATCTTGCTAAGAATTTATTACACTTGGTTTCCCATGAAGTCTACTCGACCGCGTGACGTCTAGATAGAGTGGACTGAATCCGGAAGTATAGTGCAAGCATTTATAATGTGTGCCTTGGGCAGACAATAAACGTGTGTGTTTGAGACCTAACTTATATTATGCAAATTCAGTTCTTGCGAGAGTTTAGAAACCGAGTTCGAGTTAGATTTAATTTAGGTTAAACTCGAATGGGTATTTTTTATAATAAAAATTCTATACGAATGTTACACTCACCAGTTTACTGCTTTGCAATAATCCATGGTAGTATCTAAATAATTATGTATAATATTTATATACATACGTACATAAGTATATATATATATACATACATACATACATACATATTACGTATATATATACGTAAGTATTCGTTCGTTGGGTCATTATCTCGTTTTAAGGCACGTGATTCGACGGACATGTATCATGCGGATAAACGCACCTTTTACCACAGTATTTTCTTTTTGTGTGTGAGCAAGCAGATTAGAATTAGAACGGTTTTACGTTCGTTGAGGAATTTGTTAGGAATAAAAAACCCGATTCCTTGAAATTATTATTATCATCATTTTCTTTTTTTTTTTTTTTTTTCTATAGGTTTTTTGATTCGCGTTGGTAGATATTAATTATGATTGGTAGTGATTTAGATTTTTATTAGATACTATTTAAATTTGATTCGCATGTAATTGATATGTAGAAGATATTTATTAGCGATCAAGATACATTAAATGGAGGATTATTTTCTAATCTTTTTGTCTTATGAAGAAATGAAGTCGAATTAGAAAAGTTTTTTTCTTGCTTTTGTAGACAGAACAAAATTTGCTTCTAAAAAAAATTCGTCTCCCTAATAATTTTTGATTTGGAAAATATTTCGAAAAATTATTTGAAAAATTATTTGAAAATCGTTATGAATAATCATTGTGAATAAACGATATTTACTACGAACTTTCTGATTAAAAAAAATTTATATATATATATATATATATATATATATATATATAAATATATATATATATATTATAATAAATATATTTATAATATGAAATATTTATTAAAAATTTATATAGAAAAATTTATTTTTTTCTTCAAACAATAATTCATCATTCATGAAATCCAGGATAAGATTGATTATTCTCAATCATTTCTCGATCATTTCTCGATTATTTCTTGGTAGAAAAAAATTCATCGGTAAGGAATCAACTAAATTACAATGTCGGAACCCATTATAAAGTCCTGCATACACTCACATGATTTTCAGAGCGCAACGAAACTGGATTTTCGAATTTGAGGAGACGCAAACGGGTTACGACATTATTGTTGCACACAGACTTGTATGTTGGAAAGGCGTATCGTGTGCGTCATGCATACCACGCGTTCTATGATTTAGAAACGTTAGATCTCCTCGAGGTATAACGTGTATATATATATAGATATTTCCTTATATCGATCCTTGACCGATCGATGATGTATGTGTATTCACGTCCGCTAGATCGTAGATCGTATTATTTCTTGATAATGATCGAAGGACTCGATCAACTAGGACTTTTTGTGAGAAATTATATACATATTATTTTTATTTTTCAATAAATCATATGTAATTTTATATAAATAATTTTTAAAGAATAATTTAGAGAAATTAATAATTTATTTTTATCTATACTGTCAGTGGTGAAATACACGTAAAAAATATTTTGCATAAAGAAAAATTTTCATCAACAAAAAATTGATTTATACATATAATCAATCATACAAAATACTTGATTTATATCTGCATATAACCAATATATACCTAATTATATGTATTGAATTTTTTTTTTTTTTTTTTCTTTAAGAAACTTTACATAATTCTGTTTTGCAATATTGTATTTTCGATGAAAGAACATTGACAGGATTAGAAAAGTCTTCTAAGTCGAATAATCGAAAGAAATCGTCAAAAGTAACGTCCAGCAGCGATTCGTCGATCAACTTTTTCCACTTTACTTTCGAAGTAAATTCGGCCAGGCTAGATCGTTCAGTCATGCAGAGCAACGATTGATAGAGAAATTCCGTGGAGAAACTCAAAGGCGAGAAATGCGAGAAGCTTGTTTAGGTAATAAAAATACTATATAAAAAGAAAAGAAAAAAAAAGTATTGCACAAGGATTCTCAAACTTTAAAAGATTTGAACGATTTCGTGCTCGACGAAGCGACACTTCGATCTTGTTCTTATTATTTTGTGTCTTCCTCCTTTTCAATCGATTCAATGTTTTCTCTTCGTCAAGTAATACTATCAACGCTTACTGATTATATAAAAAGAAACAAAAAAAAAAAAAGAAAAAAAAAAAGAAAAAAAAAGAATTTCTCTGATATTGCATAAGTTAAGAAAACACAAAAGAACAAAAAATATCTGCTATCCTGCAAGACTTTGTAAATTTTAATAGAATAATAAGGAACAAAAGATTTATTGTCGAATAATAATTGAGGCAATCATCATAGTCATTAAAAAATGAAGGAATTGTCCGGAAAATAAACAAATCTTTTTGCCCAACAGATAACCACCAAATATAGAAAAAAGAGAAAAAGAAAATGAAGATCCTCGCATTGGTATTAGCATTGGCATGTGCGGTCCAATGTGGTAAGACAAAAAAGCAAGTACATGAGCGAGAAGCGGGTAGTTACGAATATGGTTACGGAGGTCATCCGGAATCAGTGTTATTAGATCCTCACCTTTTGCAAGTAGATTCAGTGGCTGTGCCCAGTGGTACTCACTTATCAGAACACCGTCCATCTCGGCCAGGTTATAGTGTGGGTGGTCCTTTGGCAAGTATTGCTCAAGGAGCGGCTGAACAGGCTCACACGCAATTAGGAAATCAACATTCAGCAGCTGGACAGGCAGCTTTCATGGCCAAGAACACATTGGCTCAGGCAGCAGCACAGTCAGCTGCAACAGCAGCAGCAGCTTTAGCAGGTAAACAAATCATCGTGATGGGTCTTGAACAACAATCGAGAGATGCTCACGTTGCCGTCGATGGTGAAAAACTTCAATTGCAACAAGCACAACGTGCTGCTACAGCTGCTCAAAATACTGCTCAACAAGCGATGCATCAGGTTCAAGTAATCACTGCAGCCTTGAACGCCGCTCAGGCTACTGCTGATCACGCCAGTCAAGCTGCAGCCGAAGCTCAAGCTGAATTAGCCGCTCAAACCACTATGGTTGGCCAGGCAAAGGCCCGTGCCGAAACAATCGAGGAACAACTCAATGCAGCTCGTGTCGATTTCGAAGCAACCCAAGCCGCCGCTCAAAAAGCTGCAAACGCTGCATCCGCAGCCCAATCGAATGCCGCTGCTGCAGCAGCTCATGCCGCAAATGCTGCTGCTGCTAACGTTGCAGCTGCCACAGCTAGCAGTCATCCCAGCGGTGCTCATGGTGGTAGCCTCGTTGCTCACTTAGGCGAACCCCTTACGAACGCTGTACCCGTTGATGCGTATGATTACAAATCTGGGATTTATCATTATTGATGATTCTTTTCAATTTTAGTTCGTCGACCTATATTTTTTTCTACTCGTCTCACGTGCTCGAACTTTCAACTTATTTCTTATTTTGTATTTCTTATGTCTTCTCATTATATGCAAAGGTTGAACATCAACAAGTTGACTTCATCGAGTTTTTCTGTTATCGTTAGAGTTTATCTATTTAAAATTTATATTAGAAAGAATATCGATTTAAATACATTGTTAATGCGATCGATTGAAACTTAAAACGATAGAGCGTTATCGCAACTGAAAATTTGATCGAAAGGATCATCGTCTTTGAAGAAATAAAATTTTTCGATCTTTCTTGAAATTGTTCATTTTCCATTATTCAATGTAAATTGGAAAACTACCTTCATATTCCATTTTTCGTATTACTTTTTATTTTATCAATGGATTTTATCTGACTTGCTACGTTTCCTTCGTAAAAAATTTTTTTTCTCGTCGTTTACTTTTTTCTATAAATAAAACACAAAAACATAATTAACCGTTTTTATCATTTTAAGATGTTTTTTTATCTCCGAAACCATGACAAGTTATCACCAAAAAAAAATTACGTCAATAGGTGAAATTTTATTATGTTCTATTTTACAAATTAATAAAATCAAACGTATGTAAGGTGCAGTGTTTTATTACTACTATTCAATATTTGATAAGTAAGTAAGAAAATTATTTTTTTCGATACAGGTAATATTTCATAATATTCAAACGAAATTAAAATAACCTTTACAAATTTATTTATCCTTCCCTCTCATTTAGTATTGTTAAATAAGAATATTATTAAAAATATTTTATTAAAGATCAAAGATTTCAATGATAATATGCTATAAAATAACATTTTTTATTCTTATATTTTATCATATATATTATCCATATTTTTATCATTATATTTTATTGTTATTTGTTTAAAATAACATAGTGTTATTTTTAAAAAATAACAATAATAGTACTATGATCTATGTTGGATTTGAAGACATATGCCATCTTTCGTATCCAATGTCAGAATTCCTGGTATAAAACTGAGAGTCCTTTGTGTTTTTCTTCCTGGCAAGAATGTAAACTTCTTCAAGGCATACGCAAGGGCAACTTTCGTTTGAATTAGACCGAATCTCATACCTAAAAAAAATATATTCATTTGTATTACAAAAGAAATTGTAATATTTTTCAAAATTAAAAACAATTTTTTAATTTAAAATTCAAAATAACAAATTCACAAAGAAAAAGCAAATGATTTTTATAAAAAAATAGCTAGATATCGTACATACCAATACATATTCTTGGTCCTTCTCCAAACGGCAAATAAGTATATTGATGTCTATCACGTATTTGTTCTTCCGAGAATCGTTCAGGAATAAATTTCTCTGGTTCGGGATAAATATTAGGATCTCTATGTATTCCAAGAACAGGAATAATCACACCAGTGCCTTCCGGTATAATGATATTAGAATTAGGCAATTTGATCTCCTTGGTACATACACGATTCAAAATAGGCGCAGCTGGATATTTCCTTAATGTTTCTGCGATCAGTAAGAAATACGCGATATATAATATATCGATCAATAAAACTTTTTAATAATAAGAATCGCACATTAAACAGTATTACTAACCGCATATAACCATATGAAGATAAGTCATCTCATTGATAGCATTGTACGAGATACCTCCGTGTTTCTTTATAACTCTATCAATCTCTTCCTGTGTTTTCTTTTGAACATCTGGATTTAAGGCCAATTCGTAAAGGCAAAACGTCACCGTTGACGATGAAGTCTCAAAACCAGCCACATAAAAAACAAATGCTTGAGCTGCCCCTTCTAACATACTGAATTTTTCTAATTTCGCTGTGTTGATAAAAGAATAATTTGTAATAATAATTAATATTTATTAGTTGAGATGATATTACTGAGTAGCCGAATGTGGTAATATTTTTTTATTTATTTATTGATAAAGCAATAAAAGGCATGACGAGAAGAGGAACAATGAGATATTTTTCTTCGTCAAAAATTAAATGAAATAATGATAATCGATAGTTCAGTGCCTTATATCGATGTAATCATATATTATAATGTAAAATTGTAATGCTTACTCGGTGCATTGTCGACTGGATCAGTTTGTTTTTCCTCGTCATTTTTGACGTATCCGTCCTTCATCAATTGCATTATCAAGTTAAGGAAATCACGTCTCGTAATGTTATGTGTGTTTCGATACTCCACGGTCTTTTCGAAAACTTTTAAGAAAAATTTGGACACTCCTCTATTATTAAATGGTATCGAGAAAATTTCCATTATTTGAGGAGCAAATATCATCATCGTGTTTATGAATGGCTTCGGCTCAAACACCTTTTTACTCCAATAACGAAATTCTGACTCTGGATGTTCCAGACAATTACAATTTATTCCAAATGCAGTCGACATTATGATATCTGTGAAAAAACTGAATTGCGTTAAGTTAATATCAGTTTCTATAGTCTTATGCTTTATTACGGATTTTAAGAATTTATTAAAAATTTTATAAGTAATTAATTGCATTGTTATTGCATTAAAAATCAAGAGTATTTATTTTGTTAAATTATATTATATATGTAATAATTAATTTGATAGTATCATGCATCTACATTTACCTAACACAAGTTTCGTTCACATGTTCAAACACAAGTAACTTCGTATTATTTACTTAAGTAATACCGAAATTAATAATAAATTTAACAAAATAATCAAATATTATTGAACCATATTACCTAGCAAATATCTCCTTTATGTTGATTTCATTTCTCTCATGAACTTTCTTCTCAAGGAATTTTTCCAACAGAATTCCATTTTCTTGTAAAGTTTCGAACATATATTTGATTTTTCCTGACGTAAAAGTAGGTGTCAAACGTACACGTAAATTTTTCCATTTGGTCCCAGATAAAAGAAACAAATGTCCTGAAAGTGGATCGATCTTTTCGTTGCAATAAATTCCACGATCATGGAAACTTGAAAATTCTTTCGCCATCACGAAACGTATCAAATCGTGATCATTGATTATTAGATTTGGTTTGAAAAGTGAATATATTCCGACATAAGGGAGCGATTTGTATTTTCTGTAAATGTCTTCGAAAACAACTCCTGTAAAACGATCGAAGAAAATTATATGATAATATGGAAGCTTATTTTATGTTTTATTTTCTAAATCTGATAATGAAGAAGAAAAAAAAGAAAGAAGAAACAAGGAAATTAAAACTCTATCTCTTTATCATTTTATCTCATATTTCGTTAAAGTATACGCGTAGTATCATGTTTTTTCTAAATAGATCTTCGCAGTGTATATAACTGAAGACATCTTTATCTTAATATGTAACATTATAATCACATTTGTGGTAAAATAAGATAATAGTAAATTTGCTTATGTCATACATATAACTTTTAATTAGATGCATCTGATGCAATACTGACGCAGCACCTTTATTGCTATATAAATTCATATCAATCTTTTTATCTGAAGTGCATAAGAAATATTTACATAATACTATTATCATAATTTTTGCACATTAATTCTGCAGGAAGAAAAAAATATAATAACATTTGTAATGTACGACGAAGAACAATGAACAAAGTTTTGTTAATGATATTAATATTAATGTATTTACAATGGATATTGTTACTTCTTTTGTCTTATTATATAATATTATTACGTCCTTGAATAGTAATAAAATTATAATTTATTGAGTGGAAGCTATAAAATTGTAATTTTATTATATCAGTAAAGTTAAATACTAAATATACATAAATAGAATAATCATTTCAAATGTTATATCTTTTTTTTTTAAATGATATTCATATATTATAAATAATATATACATATATATATATATATATATATATATTCGTATTTTAAATTAATTGCTTTCATCTTTTGAAAAAAAAAGGCATATCGTATGGAGAATCAACGATTTTTTCAGGAAATATTAGACTTTGTAAGGGAAAGTAATCTGAAAAAATTTTAAATTAGAAGAAAGTTCATGAAAATAATATAATCGAGATAAGATACTTTAGTAACGTATGAATATACCTTTAAAATAATCTTACATAATAGAATAGTAGTAACAGTACTGTGTTACGTAAATGTAAGTGTGTATTGTTATCAAATCAATTGTTATACATGTAATATAGTTTAACAAGATAAATGTATTAATTTTTTAAACCCAATAATAACGTGATCAAAAATTTTTACAATTTATAATAAATTCATGAAATCAATAATAAAACATAAGATAATAAGGAACTAATGCAGTTTCTGTTTTATCAGTTCTATCTAATTCGTCTACGTGTATGATATTTTATTTTTTAAATTTAAATTAAAAAAAAGCAATAATTTAACAATTGATTTTTAATTAAGTATTATGTCAATTATATTTTTTTTTGCAGATAACATCGTTTTCCAAGGATACGTTGGACAAAAGTAAAAAGCAATTAATTTAAAATACGAATATAGGTACGTATAATGATAAGAAAGAAGCATATATAACATCAATCTGGTCGTTGTAATAATTATCTTTAGCAACTTTTTTTTTTTTTTTTTTTTTAATTTAAACGAAAATGAAATTCACAAATCGTAATTTATCAGAAATCGATTTCTCTTACATAACGAGATTACAATAATAATGATTCAGGTAATTTTTTGCATCTTCATTATATTATAGAAATGTATGACATAATTTTAAACTTCATTATATATTAAATGTGATATTTCCATATTTAGATAAAAAAATTAACACTTATGATGATCTTAATATTGCTAAAATAATTATAATTACTATGTAAATAGAAAGATAATCTAATTGTAAAATTCAAGCAATCTATTATTCAAAATATTATTTACGATCATTCACGGTAAGTTTCATTTTTTCATAATTTTTATGTCAATTATCTTATGAATAATTTTTGTAATATTGTTAGAAAAGTTGCAGATAAGTGATATGCGTTGTTAAAAAAGTTATTACATCAGGATTTTCTTCATTTCATCAAAGTTATTTTTAGAAAATAAGCACCTATGTTTTTGACATATTTCGTAACAAATTTAAAAATCATATATTTCTCAAGAAGTCGAATATGGATTTCGTTAAATATTTTTTGTAAATATATTTGGAAGATTATACAAAAAAAAATAATATACGTGTTTGTTAATGTGATATGAGACAAGATTGTAAAACGAATTCTTATATATAAAAAAAGATAAGAAAATAAAAAAATAAAAAAAAAGGAACGTTTCTTATTTTACAAAACTTTTTCTTCTGTCATAAATTTAAATAAAGAAAAAATATAAAAGACGATTTACCAATCGATTTTTTATTAAATATAGCATCATTGATATTTCCAGCTGGAAACGTTGGTTCCTCGTACGGTACACCTTTCTTTTTCCAAAAGTTGAAAATAATTAATTTAAAATACAAATATATAATAATTGTGATGAGAAACAAAACACCAAATAACTGTGATAATATCCAGACCACCATCATAATTATTAAGTGTTATTAAATAGTTTTAATTTGAACGTCACTCAAAGATACTGGTTGTATCACAATATTATTTCTGCGATGTTGGAAGGTAAACGTAATAATGACTCAGTAAATTGTTTCCCCTTCTATTATATAGGAAGGTATCAAGTCTATTTAACTTTTATTGTCTATGAATATGATACTGAATAGCTAACGCAACAACAATTATTAATAATTAAATATTAATAGCAATGATAATTATAATAACATTGTTAGAAGTATAGTAATAATACCTTTTCATATCTATAATTACGTCAATTATAAAATTCAAGTAATCTATTTAAATATATTATTCTGATTAAAAATATATATTAATAATTTTTTGTAATCTTTATATGGCTTTATATATAAATTTTGCTTCAATTTATTTCTAAAGCAAACATTGAAGTTTGATTTACTTTGATTTTTTAAATAATATTAAAATAGGATTTCTGTGGATCTCTACATGCAGCTACCTCCCCGTAATGAGATCTGGATCGATATTACTTGTACTAACTATCTAAATATAAATCTAAATCTATTAAGGCAAATACTACCGGGCGAATGGTTGCATATTTTGGTGCATTTCCAAAATTTTTTCTTTATAATTGTAATAAAAAATCAAAGTACTTACATTTTACATTATTAATAATATTTTAACAGATAAATAGATTAGATAGAAATTTAAAATAATTTCTTATTTAAAGAAAGACACTGAATAATTGGTATTTCTTTATTATCCTTATTTATTCACATTAACAATAAATAAATAATTCTCTCTATTTATTAAAAGGCATAACGATATCATAGTCAAAATGATGATTCTTTTTTAATGCTTAATTAAGTTTATTAAAAATACAATTTACATTTCCACAATATATAAATAAAGAAATAACTTGTTCTTTTAATTTTTTATTTATTCTTATTTATGTTTATTAATTATCATTTACCTTTATTCATTAATAATCATTCGTATTTATTTCTAGTTTTAGGTATTTATTTCGGATAGCTCTTGGGTAAGTTCTTTGGATGGAGCCCTTAATTTACAAATTAAATGATACTTCTTCTACCTTTAGCACCAATTTATTATTAAAGACAGGATACATATTTTCAACCATACGATACATAATAACACTTTTTATCTAATAAACAAAAAAAGAAAAAAATAATAATAATAAAACTATGATCTCTGCTGGATTTGAAGATATATGCCACATTTCGTATCTATTGTTATAGTTCCTGCCGTAAATTCGAGCTTCCTCGGTGTGTTTGGTCCTGGTAAGAACGTAAACTTATTCAGGGCATTCATAAGAGCAACTTTTGTTTGCACCAGAGCAAATCTCATACCTAATAAACATATTTGTTCATAAGGTAAGAAAGAAAAAAGACGGGTATTATGTTTTCATCGACGATTCTATATCGTACATACCAATACATATTCTTGGTCCTTCTCCAAATGGCATATAGGTATATTGATGTCTACCACGATTTTGTTCTTCCGAGAATCGTTCAGGAATAAATTTCTCTGGTTCGGGATAAATATTAGGATCTCTATGTATTCCAAAAAGAGGAATAACCACACCAGTGCCTTCGGGTATGATGACATTAGAATTAGGCAATTTGATCTCCTTGGTACATACACGATTCAAAATAGGCACAGGTGGATATTTTCTTAAGGTTTCTGCGATCAGTAAGAAATACGCGATATATAATATATCGATCAATAAAACTTTTTAATAATAAGAATTGCACATTAAACTGTATTACTAACCGCATACAACCATATGAAGATAAGTCATCTCGTTGATAACATTATACGAGATACCTCCATGTTTTTTTATAATTTTATCAATCTCTACTTGTGTTTTTTTTTGAATATCTTGATTCAAGGCCAATTCGTAAAGGCAAAACGTCACCGTTGACGATGTAGTCTCAAAACCAGCCACATAAAAAACAAATGCTTGAGCTGCCCCTTCTAACATACTGAATTTTTCTAATTTCGCTGTGTTGATAAAAGAATAATTTGTAATAATAATTAATATTTATTAGTTGAGATGATATTACTGAGTAGCCGAATGTAGTAATATTTTTTTATTTATTTATTGATAAAGCAATAAAAGGCATGACGAGAAGAGGAACAATGAGGTATTTTTCTTCGTCAAAAATTAAATGAAATAATGATAATCGATAGTTCAGTGCCTTATATCGATGTAATCATATATTATAATGCAAAATTGTAATGCTTACTCGGTGCATTGTCGACTGGATCAGTTTGTTTTTCCTCATCATTTTTTACGTATCCGTCCTTCATCAATTGCATTATTAAGTTAAGGAAATCACGTCTCGTAATGTTATGTGTGTTTCGATACTCCACGGTCTCCTCGAAAACTTTTAAGAAAAATTTTGACACTCCTTTATCATTAAGTGGTATCGAGAAAATTTCCATTATTTGAGAAGCAAATACCATCATCGTGTTTATGAATGGCTTCGGCTCAAACACCTTTTTACCCCAATAACGAAATTCTGATTCTGGATGTTCCAGACAATTACAATTTATTCCAAATGCAGTCGACATTATGATATCTGTGAAAAAACTGAATTGCGTTAAGTTAATATCAATTTCTATAGTCTTATGCTTTATTACGGATTTTAAGAATTTATTAAAAATTTTATAAGTAATTAATTGCATTGTTATTGCATTAAAAATCAAAAGTATTTATTTTGTTAAATTATATTATATATGTAATAATTAATTTGATAGTATAATGAATCTACATTTACCTAACACAAGTTTCGTTCACATGTTCAAACACAAGTAACTTCGTATTATTTACTTAAGTAATACCGAAATTAATAATAAATTTAACGAAATAATCAAATATTACTGAACTATATTACCCAGCAAAGATCTCCTTTATGTCGATTTCATTTCTCTCATGAACTTTCTTCTCAAGGAATTTTTCCAACAAAATTCCATTTTCTTGTAAAGTTTCGAACATATATTTGATTTTTCCTGACGTAAAAGTAGGTGTCAAACGTACACGTAACTTTTTCCATTTGGTTCCAGGTAAAAGAAACAAATGTCCTGAAAGTGGATCGATCTTTTCGTTGCAATAAATTCCACGATCATGAAAACTTGAAAATTCTTTCGCCATTACGAAACGTATCAAATCGGGGTCATTGATCATCAAAATTGGTTTGAAAAACGAATATACTCCGACAAAAGGATACGATTTGTACCTCATGTAAATTTCTTTGAAAATTTCAGCTGCAAAATGATAACCAAAAAATTTTAAAATAATACCAAATAATACTTGGTTTTATTTTTTAAAATTTGAATAAAAGAAAAAGATAATTTACGAATGGATTTTTTATTAAGAATTGCATCGGTGATATTTCCAGCTGGAAACGTTGGTTCTTCGTACGGTACACTTTTCCTTCGCCAAAAGTTAAAAACAATTAATTTAAAATAAAAATATATTCCGATTATTATGATGAACAAAGCACCGAATAACTCCAGTAATATCCATTCGGACATCATAATTATTTCGTTATTTCTTCTTTTATTTATACAGCACACATTTATATATCTAAGTATTAACGTCTTTTGTTAACGATTGATTTTTCTAGAACAATCTTTTGAGAAGATATCAGTGCTACTGATTTAAAAAATCACTTGTATCCTCCTTATATATGAAGAAATATGATAATTAATTATTTTACATATTTTGTCAATATGTTAGGATATAAAAAATAAAATAACGCAGATAAAATAAAATATCTTAGTATTGCTAATATATCTGTGTTTATAATTTGTCATTTTGATAGTTATGCTAATTATGAAATTCAGATTATTTATCAAATCATTTTAATATGTATTTTGTTAATATTATGATATATGACTGTCTGTCAATTTTATCGAATTATTATCTGTAGTCATATACACTAAAATTTTTTTATATTCGCGTTATATATACTTTATAACACGAATTATTAGTTCTATCAGTTCCATCAAAGTCTATTTATAGGACACAAATAAATTTTTATCTACCTGACTTGTTTTATAAAAAATGTAATGAATTCCGCGCAACTAATAAAATGCAAATATGCATTTTGTTGGTTTTCTCATAAAGATTTAGTTAAGAATAATTATAATAATATGTGCATATATTATTATAATATATACTATATAATATATAGATATGACGTAATATAAGACAAAGTGGCGAAGCGAATTCTTATAATCTTATAATAGATCTTATAAAATACGAAAAATATGGATTACTATTTCGATTTAAAATAACAGACCAATCTGTTTGTCTATATTAAATATTCATATTTATGATAATATATAAAGCATAGAAAAAAAGTGAAAAGAAAAAGAAAGAAGATCTCTAAGTATTAACATTTAATCGAGGTTGATATATTCAAATATCCTACTGTTTGTTTCTCGTTTCGTGTCGCAGATCGTCCGCTAGATGACACTAGCGACGCCACATCAGTTTGGTTTCCCATCATACGTTCACATGATATGGGATCAATAAACTGAAAGGGTTTCGTCATTCGACGAAATTTAGAATTAATTGGAAAAGTTTATTGTGATTGATCGAACGCAAGTTTCCGTCTGATAGGATTGTGGTGAAACCTTCGAGTGAGAAAATGGCAGATAAATTGAAAATATGGCGGATTTGTGCATGAGATAAGTTAAATTGAAAAGTGACGTATGAATCCTCGTGTCGTCCATGTATGTATAATAGAAGGGGAACAGATGATTGTGATGATATTAGAGCAATGAGACAAGAAACGTCAAATGCATAAATAATCGATGAACTTTGAACTTGTAATCTATCGTATTTTAATATAATTATTTAATAACTGTAACTAAATTATATATCGATATATATATATATATATATATATATATATATATAGCTTAGACAGGTGAAGTTTTGCCAAGTCGACGAAGTGTTTTTATTTAGAGAAATGTGTTTGATTAACAGTTATACGTATTAGAGAATAAAGAGAAAAAAGAAATAGATATTAAAGGTCGAAGGTGTTCATCTATATTCAACGATCGACAATCGTAAGTCTTTTTACAAGTGGATTAGAAGTAAAAAAGAAAAGGATAAAGATAAAGAGAAAGTAAGAAAAATGAGTTCGGTTTGGAAACGACTTCAACGGGTAAACAAAAGAGCGGCGAAATTCCAATTTACCGTTTCGTATCACGAAGTCACTCTCGAGACAACAACGAAATGGCGAGTAATAAATATCTATTTATATATTAGAAGTATAGATTCATATTTAAAATACCTTTCTTTTTTTTTTTTTTTTTTTTTTTTAATTGTATCATATGTTTATAACATAGTAAAATGTATAGGATCATTTTATTATGAAATTAAATTTTTCGAATATTTCCATTTCATTTGTAGGAAACCAAACAAATTAAGCGTCGTATGGACAAGACGCAGTAGAAGAGTTAGTACAGAACCATTGGATTGGGAACCAAATTTAAGCGATCCATTGAAAGGTGTTATTAGTTGGCCAGTTCCAGACAATCATACAGTTTCTGTAACGTTGTTTAAAGATCCTCGGACTCATGAATTAGAAGACAAGGATTGGTCTTTTGTTATTGAAGATGTAAGTTCTATTATATGCATTGTTATATCATATTTAAGTTTGTGATTTTATTTATATTAAAAAATGAAGCGAATAAACATTTTAATTTACTTATAAATAGGTTTCTTCTACGGGTAAAAGGCGACATGTAGCTGCTGCAAATATAAATATGAAAAAGTATGCTACACTCGAATCTAGTCAACAACAACTTAAATTAGATTTGAAACCGACTTCCAAAAAAATTGTTAGTGCTACATTAGAATGTACATTATCATGTGTATTTTTGAGAGAAGGCAAAGCAACGTAAGATCATTCTGCAATGGTTTCTTCTATTTTTTTCTTTTTTTTATTTTTCTTTTTCTAAAATGAAACATGGAAAAGTAAGCAATTCTTATAACCTAATTATTTTTAATAGGGATGAAGATATGCAGAGTATGGCTAGTTTGATGTCAGTTAATAATAACAGTGATATCGCTCCGTTAGATGATTTTGATAATGAGGATATACCCGAAGATGTAGAAGAAGTTATAGTTAAAAATATGGATGAGATTTTGGATATTTCTGCTCAACTTGATTTAATGACAAGTAGTCTTACTGAAAGTGAATTACCTAGCACTCCAATCAGTGGTAAATATTCCATTTTTAATTTGTTTCATCAGAATTTTAATAGAACATTAAAATTTTTGATGAAACATGTTTCATTTAAATAATTTTTTACTTTTTTAACAGTGGCAAGTTTATCCAAAGATGATACAACTCCTGTAAATGATGATGATCATTTCATACGTGAAATAAGTTTAACAGGGATCGGAGATGCTTTGAAAGACAAGTCACCTTTAAAGGATAATGTTGCGGTTGAAAATGAGTATGTTTATAAATAAATATTATTAAGAAGTAAAATAATCTTACGAAGGATTACATAAGTATAACGTTTTACAGCAAAAATATTGAACATAGTTCATTGAGATTGCCGTTGCAGCCATTAGACTTTAAAAAGAATGAAATGAATATGCCTAAATTAAAGGAAGTTACACCTGGTCAAGATTTGTTGGAATGGTGTAAAGAAGTGACAAAAGATTATCCCGGTGTTAAAGTTACTAACTTAACAACATCTTGGAGAAATGGAATGGCATTTTGTGCTATTATTCATCATTTTAGACCTGATCTTATGTATGTAGAAACAAATATAATTGATAACTTCGACTATATGCCAACTATATTTTCAATGATTCATTAATAAGCTATTGAATTGAATGTATTATTTTTTTTTTTCAAATAATTTAAATATATTAAATTACTATAGTATTATTAATATAAACGTAATAATATCAATATTATATTGATCATATTAGAGATTTAATTAAAATAAAATTTGATAATTTACAGTGATATAGAATCCTTATTATCACATGATGTAAAAGGTAATTGTAAAAAAGCATTTGATGCAGGAGAAGCTCTAGGAATTCCTAGAGTGATAGAGCCTGCTGATATGGATATATTAACTGTACCTGATAAATTAGCTGTGATGACATATTTATATCAATTGAGAGCACATTTCACAGGACATGAATTGGAGGTATTAAATTTAATTTTACTTTTTCTATCTATATATACATATATATCTGTTTTTCTTCTTATTTATTTAATTATCACTTTTAGGTACATCAAATAGGTAAAACAACTGATGAATCTTCTTATATGATTGGTAGATTTAATACGGATAATAATACAGATGTAAGCGTACAATTGTTTGGTCAAGAAATAATTAATTTACGTAAAAAGGAGCAAATGGAACAAAGAAATAACAAAACGGACAGTAATAGACGGTAAATTTGAAATGCTTATACCTATTATTATTTTAGTAATAAAATTATATATATATATAATTAATAATTATTCATATTTATGCAATCTATAGGTCAAATCCATTTGATAACAATCAATATAAAAAGGATGATATCAGTATTGACACAATAAAAAATAAATTACATTTGAGTTTAAATGCAGATAATCAAGATGATCAATTTAATAAAGACAAATCACCTTCCAGCGTAAAAGATGTTAAAGATATTATACTTGCTAGTTCAAAAAGCATTTTGGGAAAAGTTTTATCTCCGACAAAAGAAAAATATGCATCTAGAGAGAAGGTGTGTGTATATATATATATTCTTATATTTGTTAACTCATCTAATATTAAATTAGCTTTTATCATTATTGCAATGTACATGGGTAATTGTTGGTTAACACTATGCATTATATACATGACAAGTTTTCTTATTTAACACTGAAAAATGGAGAATTGGTATAAATTTGCTACAGAGCAAGTCTCCACCCAGAATACCTCAAGCGCAGCAACGTCCTATACTTATGACACGCCGGCAATTAACAGACCCATTCGGGTCTGACGACGAGGAGGAAAATATTCAAATTATCGATGACAAATGGTCTCAATCAATTTCTATTACGAAATCGCAATCGCCAGTTCGTGATGTCAGTATAAATTAAATCGTGCAAATGATTGCTTTTAATGTATTTATTCTTTCGTACTTTGCTACATATTAACAATTAAATTTATAGTTTGGTTTTTATTTATAGTGTTTTTTTTTTAAATACATTTTATGGATTACATCGAGAGAGATTTGATTGCAAAATTTAGTTGTTTATATATTTATATACTTATCTCTTAGTAGCATTATCTAACAGCACCTATGTAATAAATATGTCTACGTGTATATACTTTTATATATCGAATTGCATGTTAATATGCATGCTCATTTTTATGTTTTATTTTAATATAAAATATATGTTTATAATATGTTTTATATCATAAACATTATTATGTGTGTCTTTTATAGAAACGAGAAAGATTTTTCACTTAAGTGTGATTAAAAAGTATTAATTAATTTATTCACTTAATTATTTTTTTTTATAGGACTCAATTAATACTGTCGATAAAGGAAGTCGAGGTAATTCAGAATGTCAAAGTGCTTCACCTCCGCATGGAGAACAACGTGCACAACATGTAATTATTGAAGTTATTTTTTTTTTTAAATTGCTTGATCAATTAGATATTCTGAATCTAATTTTTTTTTTCTTTTTTTTTTTCTTTTTTTTTTCTTTTTTTTTCTTTTTTTTTCTTTTTTTTTTTTCCTTTTTAATTACTATTATTATAGCCTTTAGTTAGTCGGCATGATGAATTGAGAGAACGTGCAAGACAGTTGTTAGAACAGGCCAGAAATCAATCAAAGCCTGCTGGCATTGTTTCCGTTGCTACTAGTCCAGTTGAGGTTTATAATTTTTTAATTATTTTTATCTCATATAATATAAACGTTAATTTTTAACTCAATTAATTATAATACATTTATCAGACTCAAAGTGACGATGAAAGACAACAACAATTACGAGAAAGAGCAAGACGTTTGATAGCAGAAGTAAAAATGGGTGTTAATGTTAATCCAAGTCAAAATAATGATGATAATAATAGTGATAGACGATCAATGGATGATCAAAATAATAGTCCAAGAAGAAGTGTTACACCATCTACACCTGGTGATAGATTAAGCTTAAAGGTCAGTTTATAATGAATAATTGTTAGAAGATTACCAATCTAACGAATCCTTCGTAATATTTTAGTCTGAATACAATGGAAATATATTAGGTAATACAAGTGAAGTGGAAAAGAAAACTGGTTCACCTTTATATTCGTTCTCTAAAATTATAGAAAGAATTTCTCCCGATAAAACTAGTCCCGATAGAACTGCATATACTCTCAGAGGCGTATGTTAAATTATTTAATCATTATCTGTTAATAAAAGATTATTTTGAATATAATGATTATTAATAAATTTTACAATTATATTTATATTTATATTTAGTTGGGTAAAGATATGACATCATATATTCAAAACGAGCTTGAAGCTTTGGAAAGAGAACAAACTCAGATAGATATACAAGCTGGTAAACTTGAGAAACAACTTAGAGCTGCCATGGAAAGTGATAATGAAGATGAAACTGAAAGACTGATGTCTCTGTGGTTTACACTTGTTAATAAGAAAAATGCTCTATTGAGAAGGCAAATGCAATTAAATATATTGTGAGTTGACTACTCATATCGTTTTATTATATACATAAATATTTATGAATCCATATATACAATATTGGCGATTGTATTTTTTCCAGAGAGAAAGAAGATGATTTAGAACGTCGTTTCGAACTTTTAAATCGCGAATTAAGAAGCATTCTTGCTGTGGAAGATTGGAGAAAGACAACTGAACAAAAAATGCGTGAAAATTTATTGTTGGAAGAATTAGTGTCAATTGTTAACAAAAGAGATGAGTTGGTGCATCATCTTGATACTCAAGAAAGAGCGTAAGTAAATTTTATATTATTTTCATTATAACAATCGTTTGGCTATTTAAATAAATTCTTTTATGATATTTTCTCACAGTATTGAGGATGACGATGAAATAGAACGCGATTTATCAAGAGCAGGTTTAGCTCAGCGAAATAAAAATTGTGTCGTGCAATGAACATCTGATTTAATGTCGTCATTATATTTTTTAAGTTCAAGGTAAACCAATTGGTAAAGTATATGCGATATTTTTGAAAAAAAAAAAGAAAAAAGAATAAAACAAAACAAAACAAAACAAAAATGATAATAATAATAAATAACTAGTTCAGCAGTAATATAAGAGCAATAACGAAGTTAAACATACCGTGTCTTGAATCATGCGATATATGCATTACAGGCACTATTCATTTTATTGTGGAGTTGCCAAAGAAAATAAAAAATGTCCAGTGTGTAGATCATTCTTTCATTCGAACAATAATAATAATAATCTATAAGTGTCCATTTCTTTTATTTTCTTATATATTTCTTCCGGGAATAATGTCTGATGTTTACATATGTAACACATTTACATGTTATAATATGTTTTATTTAAGTCTACTTCCTATTGAATATACTTGAACGGAATAATTATTAATTTATATTAAATATTCTAATTTAAATATGAGGTACAGAAAAAAATATATAAATCAATGATAGCTATTATAATTATTATTATGGATTTATAAAACAATACATTTTTCCAAAGAACCATCATCCATAATGAATAATTTGAATAATCATTTTCTAAATTTATTAAAATCGACGAAAGAATGTTCATAATTAATTTTTAATTAGATCCATCTCAATATAAATAATTTATAACATATGAATATATATATATATAAACAATGATATATATATATATATCATTGTTTAATTCTCACTATCCAATTTAGTCAAATTTTATGAAACAGAAGAGATACAATCTTAATACTAGAATATACTAATATGTAAAAAGGTAATTTATCTTCTCTTTGAATGTCATGTATGAGCGATCTCTGAAATCTCTAAAGAAAAAATTTAATATACAATCAATTCATAGTAAAACAGTATTAATCCAGATATATTTACAGGAAAACACTATCTGATTGCAATTTCTTATAGCAATTTTACCTTTGCTAATTGATAAGATATAAGGGAAATATTTTAAAGGAAATATCATATATATATATGTATGATATATATATATATATATATATATCGTTTATAATGATGACAATTGAACTCATTAATTATTACGTACGTTCTACACTTGTGCCATATATGGACATTATAGATTTTTTATATGTAAAAAAAAAAAAGAAAAAAAGAAAAAAAGAAAAAAAAATTATGCACATACATGTTTGACCATGCTGATGCTTTAAAAAAGAAAACAAAATATGTTACTTGCTATTTATGGTGTGTGCAATTTTTATAGTTATAATTTTAGCATTAATTCTGCAAGAAATGTAAAGCTAATTAATTTCTTAAGTACATACTTTTCAATACTCTCATTTTATACATGAATATTTAAGATTGTGCATAATATTACATGATATTCAGTTAACTGTACTTTCACAATATTTATTTTATCAAAGCATGTGCATCTTTCGATAATTTCATGTTATAAAATTTTGGCCTAATGATCCGTACGTATGTTCTTCATTAACACAAATATAATTGTTATTCTTTCTAAACTTGGATATAAAATTTTTAAATTTTTTGTAAATATTGTAACGTCTGATCGATTAATTGAATTAATTTATTTTTTGCTTTATAAATATTAGATTTTAATATTATTCAATACGAATCGAAATCATTTGAAATTTAGTTTAACCGACCCATTTGTTATTAAGATATTTTTACAATGCAGATTAAATTTGTTTTATCTTAGTGTAAAATATTGCATTTTTTTCCTTGTTTTTTATTTTTTTTATCTTTCATGCATTATAGTAGTATAATCTTTAATAATTGTTTTGTGTGATCTGTGGAAGTTGAAAAAAATGTAATATTTGGCATGTCTTTGATAACTAACTATGCAATAAAGTAGGATTACAAATATTTAAAGTTTAACCATAATGAAAAATAATCTGTGTAAAGTGATCTCTTCTGTATCCTTTATGGTTTGATTAGAAGAAACCAAATCTTTGCTTGATCTCATTTCTTGGGTTCAATATTAACATATATATTATTATACATTTTAAATAATGCTTATGTAAAAAGTACAACCTAATGGATTTATTTTTTATATTTATATCCTATGTAACTTTTTCAAAGCATGGTAGATTATATTTGCTTTATATATGTGTATATATATATATATACATATATATATATATATATATATATATATATATATCATATATGAAATCTATATGTAAATAATAATCATGCTATAATATATCCTAGGCAAGATCTTCTCAATATCTTTAACGACTGAACATATACTAATTTTTAACAGAAAACGTCGTTAGAAAAATTTAATTGTTACGTAAAAATGCAATAACAATTTAATTTTTGATGTTACACATACAAACAAACAGACATAAACACGAACAAATACACATAATGATTATTTATATTTATATAATAATTTTGTACTATATGTTCACGTTGCAAGGATAATGAATGAGAAGATAAATTCAATACCGAGCAAAATAGTTATGCAAATAATAATTTATTATTCCAGTGCCTAAGATCGTCTACACCTATGTTCATCAGTGTAAGATCATTATAATGTACTGATTTAATAAGAATGAACATGCGAAAGTAGTTGTAAATTCAACATGCATATAGGAATAATGTCTCTTTAAACTATTACTTATATATTATGTTTTTCGTATATCATGTATATATATATATACATATATATATATACATATATATATATATGTATGTGTGTATATATATATATATATATGAAGGTCTGAGTTAACATTGATTTATTTTCTTTTATGTCATTGTAAGTACGTTAGTTGTAAAAAGAAATGAAACATAATTCTTGCCAATGCTTTAATATAGTTTATAAGTGCTAAAACAATTTGCTGGTTGCGATGTTAATTGTGAAACAATTTGTATGAGTGAGCGAAAGCGCAACATAATGTCGTATATATTTATTATTTGAATAAAATGTAATAAAAAACATTTGGGAAAGTTGGAGATAACAAAAGTCAATGAAAAGTTGAAACATTACATATGGTATAACAAACGTATTTAATAACAATACAAATAATCGAAAAAATTTAAATAGGAAATCAAATCGTACACTGATTCATGATAATTCATTATATTTTCGATTCTAAACACTATAGTGGCAGTGATATATATATAAGTATGTATATATATATATATATATATATATATATATATATATATATATATATATACACTCTCTCTTTAATGGATTCACAACGTAAATATATAATACATTTTTTTCTGAATGCCAAAGGCAATAATACGATGATTTAATATTTGTTGCATGTATTACAAAAGTTCGTTCTGTTTGTTTCTAATCTGATACATTGTATTAGATTATGCTATATAATTATGACTTATTTTTCGCGAAATATAAAAACATAATTTACGAGTACAAATCACGGAAAATAAACTTATTATTATATAATAGTCTCTTTGGATCATTCGAGGCTATCATGCTTCTGCCGATATATATATATTTACTAGCAATTTCGAACATATATGTTCTACTTCTATCTTCGTTACATATCTTCAATTTCGCCAAGTAATAATACTGGAGACAAGACTACTTAATTTTTTTTTTCTTTTCTTTTTTATTTAACATTTCCAAATTCGAAGGGCCAATATATTACACATGTATACTTCACGTGCAGTATACATATTTGTTATAATATTTTCAATTACGTTTATTTTATATTCATTTAACTATTAACACAATGGACATAGTCTTGTGCAAAAATAAAGCAATGAAAGTATAAATGCATTTTGGTAAACAAATCGGCTACTTTCTACACGCGACATGTATAATAATAATAATAATAATAATAATAATAATAATAATAATAATAATAATAATAATAATAATAATAATAACAACGATGTAGTGGTATATTACGGGCAATTTTTATGTTCTTTCTATGATATTTCTTTCTTTCTTCAGATAATCTTTTCTTGCGAAAAAAAATACTTATCGTTTTTATTAATAATGAGAACATTGAATTCTAATTGATTAATGAAAATTTCTATACAAAAACAATGGGAGATTTTTTTCGGATTATTTTGTTTGTTTCTTTGTTTCTTTCTTATAAAAATTTGCTAATGTGAATCGATTTGAATTTTATTCAGCTAATATTCTAAATTTTTACTACGTAATTCGATGGAAAAAGGCCAGTTTTTCCTTTCAGTCTTCCATGCCACCATCCACCTTCGTCTGAAAAAAAAAAGAAAAAACAATTAAAACTAGTTTGTATACGATATATATATATATACACAAACACACACACACACATATACGGTATGATAATTTTTAACTTACGTTCTTTGAGTACTTCGATGATGTCACCTTCCTTAAGTGCAAGTTCATCAAGATCCTGTGGGCTGTAATCATAAATTGCCTTGACTTTAGGTAAATTTGGTGGAGGCGGTTTTTGCGGAGGTGTTTGATTAGGGTTAACCAATGTATGTGGTACACTCTTTTCTTTCGCAGCAACTCCTTCCATACGTTTTATTCTACTATTTAAAAAGTTTTGATCGTTATTATTATTGTTATGTTCTTTACGATTTAAAGGAATTAGTTTGAATTGAGATGACGTTATGGTGTTATCTTGCATAGGTGGTGGCTCCGTCGGTGGTGGTGGAAATTTTAATAAACCTACAAAATGAAATAATAATTTTAAAAATTGTTAAAACAAATATTATTATTATTATTATTATTATTATAATGTTGAAATGTTATCATTATTTTATTTACCACGTGGACCACCACCAGGATTTGTAAACATTCCCATCATCGTGATTGAACTTTGCAGTTTGTTAGGCTGCTTATTTGTACTCTTAGTAGTAGTGGTATCTTTGGTACTATTCTGAAATTGTGCTGGCCTGAAATTTGGCCGATTAGGTGGTATGCTTGGTCTACCATTAGAAACGGGATTCACTGTGTTAGTATTAACGGTTCTCGTAGCTGCGACAGGCCGTAGAGCAGGCCTTCCGGCTGATACGTTGGGCCTAATCGAAGAAGTCTGATCGTTTTCTCTTTGATCCGTATTATCGATTGACCTTACGTGATTCGTTGGATTGTACGGTTTTCCAATTGCACGTGAAGTTTGATTACTTTGAGCGTTGTCCTTGTACGTATAAAAATTCATTGTTGTTGATCGATTTGGATTTGGTTCTAAATACCACAAAAAATCTCATTAACATATCATAAATCTATCTATCTCTCTTGTTATATATATATATAT